TAAAAGTTCTATATATTTAGGGCTGTGAAACGATTAATCGCGATTAATCGCATCCAAAATAAAAGTTTGTGTTTACATAATATACGTGTGTGAACTGTGTATATTTATTTTGTCTATATAAATACACACACATACATGTGTATATTTAAAAAAAATTGTTATTTATGTACAGTATAATAGAAATTATATATAGTATATATAAGCAAATATTTCTTAAATATATACAGGCGTGTGTGTATTTATATATATAAAATAATTATACATAGTTCACACATGAATTATGTAAACACTTTTAGGATGCGATTAATCACGAATAATCGTTTCACAGCCCTAGTGTGTATATATATATATATATATATATATATATATAACATCATATAACATCATTATATATATATATGTGTGTGTGTGTGTGTGTGTATATATACATATGTACACACACACAAACAATATACTGTATTTAAACACATACACACACACACACACACTAACAATATACTGTATTTAAACACACATACACGCACACATACACACACACACACACACACTCACAAACTTTTATGTTCATTGCGATTAATCGTTTTGTTTTAATCGATTTAATCGATTAATTGACAGTTTTAATTTAATATAACATCATTATGAATACTAAATAAAAATAAAAATACACAAAATATTTAAAAAAAACACACTTTAAAAAAAACCAATCATAAATACAAAAACTAAATAGAATATTAAATCATATTAATATTAATTTTACACAAAAAAAGAAATGTCGAGATATTTAAAATTTTATTTGAACATTCATAAACATTTCATATTTATAAAAAAAGTGCCAGTGTAGTCACTTCAACTTGCACAAAAATATTACAAAACCTTTGCTTTACAAAACACTGTAAAACACATGCAGCGTATACTGAAGCATCTTCAACAGATTCAGCCACAGTGCTAGTTCATCTCCCCCAGAAATGCCCTGCGGCTGTTTTGTCTCGGGAAGATGTGAGAAATGGTGTTGATGGTGATGGGCTCGACCCCGACCGTGGATCCCCGCAAGAAGTCCCCCCTCATCACAGACCTGAACGACTTCCGAAACTCCTCGTTTTTCCAGGTGTACAGAAAGGGATTGGACACGAATATAGTGCAGAACACAATCCAAGTTGACGTCCAAAGCGCCACCGACACCGGGACGAACAGCCCGGCGACGAGAACCCAAAAAATGGGTTCGGTTGTCAGAAAGAAAATTAAGCACACCGCCAGAACGTAGAAGCCGAGTCGCTTGTCCTTTCTCGGGAAAGAATAAGGGAGGTTGTTCACGATTTGGAAATTCAAAATGCTCACCCTCTTCACGCTTATTTGCACCCGGCGGAAAATCTTAAAGTAGCAGTAGATGACGACGACGGTCTGTCCGATGATGGTGAACGCCAAAGTGCAGGCGGCGAACCGACTGGACAAAACGGACACCGTGGTGAAAGATCCGTATTCGGCGTCCCGGCATCTCTCGGGAGGGTATCGAAAGGACGTGAGCCACGGGAACAAAAAGCCCACCGAGATCAGCCACGATCCCGCGATCATCCACTCTGTGTTCCTCTTCTGATACAGACTTTGATACACAGCAGGCGTTTTGGTGATCAAAACATACCTGTTGACTGCGATTAGCGAATGCGAGAGCAGCGACACGGTGATTCCGAGAAACAGCAGCGCTTCTTTGAACGCCTGGTAACCCACCGCTAGAAACGTCCCAGTGGAGGTGGCCACCGCTTCGTGGGGCATCCAGAAAGCGCAAACCAGCAGATCCGCCATGCAGCCGTTCACGATAAACGCATTGCTGGCCGTGCGGAGCTTCTTGAACGTCACCACCAAATAGATCACCAGGAGGTTGAGGACGGTTCCCAGAACGCACATGAAGGAGTAGAAGGTGGCGAGGGAGATGCGCGAGCCGCGTCCCAGCGCGCACATCGACGGTGGCGCGTCGTCTGTGTCATTTGGCATGATGGGAGCAGGCTGGAAAATAATGTCATCTCATCTCATCTCATATTGTGTGGAGAAGCGTGCGCGTGAGAGAGCGCAGCTCCCTTTGGCGATGCTGCGGTGAAGAAACCAGCTTTATATGTGCGTTCGTGTGTGTGTGCGTGTGAAGCGTGAGATCAACAAGAGCCTACGCTACAATCTGGCTTGTCTTTCATGATTCCCAGGGAGCATAATCACCACCAAGGCAATTCATTATTCATAATGGACTTAGCCTGTAATAATCAATAGGGCGTAATATAATGGGCTCCCCATTGAGAATCTATAGGAAGGAGGAGGCGGCACTAGGATGCATTTTGAATATGCAGAGAACATAAATATTAGGTTCTGGCATCATTTACTCACCTTAGTGTCACTTTAAACCTGTAGGGATTACTTTTGTCTGTGGAATAGAAAATGAGATGTTTGGCAGAATGTTCTTGCTGCTCTGTTTTATACAATGAGAGTGAATGAGGACTAGGGTAAAAAAAAATCTCCAAAAATGAGATTTTTTTTAACCTAGTACCCATTTTGTTTGGTTCATAATTGTTTTTGATAGACTGAAAAAGAACCAGAACAAAAAAGATTCAGTATGGTTTTAATTCATTACAAAGAATCGGTTCAGAATTTGTTGGGGAATCAGACTTCCATTGGTGGCGCTATATGTTATTGACTCACGGACTAATCTGATCACTGATACAATGTTGAATGTATCTTAAAAAAAAAAAAAAAAAAATTTGTAATTTGTTCGAGAATCAGACTTCCACTGGTCATGCTATGCGTTTTTGATTCATTAAAAACAGCAGAGTCATGCGATTTATTTGTCGGAAATTAAACTACACCGATGCTGTTGTTTCTGATTCACTGAAAAGAATTGGCTCGAATCGGACTACCATGATTCGTGTTGTACATTTTTCATTTATTAAAAGAACTGGCTTGTAAAAGTCTTTAGTTCATTCGGAAATCTAAATTTTTTTTTTTTTCCGTTTATGATTAATAGAGTGCCGAAGTTATGACGTCACTTTGTAGGACAACTCGGAAGTTAGCGGCGCATGGGTTCCCTCAATCGAAAAGCTATGCATTTTCCCCATACTTTAGGAAAATGCAAAAAACAAGATCTGTGTTCAACAAAGAGTTGTGACCATTACACATTTTGTCTATCAAGGTAATCTTTACAAGTTAAACCAAAATGTATACATTTTGAAGAGTTTAAAAAAACCACAGACACAATAAAGTAAAAAACAAACACACAAGCAGGTTATAACTGCCGTGTTATATGTCATAAATCAAAATGTGAAAATATTTAGAGGCTTTGTTTACTACAGACCTTATTTCAGGCAATTTAGCAAAAAAAAAAAAACATTCCAAAAACCCATAGATTTAGGGCGAGGGAACCGGAAGTGCTAAAATTCTAACTCACTTCCGCGTTTTGGCCAACAAATTGACGTCATAATTTTGGCGAAAAACGTTCTAATAACGTTTCGCTAACGTTCCCATACAGCTATTAAATGCTTTAGTTCATCACAATACGTTAAGCAATTTTCAGATTTTTCAAGTTTATAAGATTAAACTCCTTTATTTTCAGGTCAGTTTCAATATAATTTAAGTTGAAATGACTTAAAGGGATAATTCACCCCAAAATGAAAATTATATCAGAAATTACTCACCTTCATGTTGTTCCAACCCCGTAAGACTTTCTTTCATCTTCGGAACACAAATTAAGATATTTTTGATTAAACCTGAGAGCTGGATCACTCCTCGATAAGGATCTAAAAGGGATTGAAACTTACCATATATAGATGTGTATATACTATATATATATATATATATATATATATATAGTATATACACACATACATACACAGAGCGTTGGCAAGGTCATGGGTTCGATTCCCAGGTTGTGTAACTTGAAATGCAATGCAAGTCGCTTTGGATAAAAGCATCATCAGCCAAATGCATAAATGTAAATTATATATATTATATATACATTGTAACAATGTTTTGAGAATATTAAGACCATATAACTTTGATTGAACAACATTTTATTTTCGTTACTAGAATAACATGTTCAGAAGTGTGAGTGAACCTCATGCTAGGCAAAAGATGCTAGCTAAAGCTATAATATATGAGAATCTTCCGTTTTCCATCATAGAATTATATTAAGTTGTTACGCATCAGCGGCAAAGCACACTTTAAAGCCTTCAACAATGGTATGTCATTAAAAAAGCAGCGTTAATATTACCTCAACCCATATATATCGAGAATAGGTTGGTAAGAAAAACCGTGACAGTTTTGACATGTCAAGCTGCCTTTCCGGTGTTGTACATAATACTTAAACTATTATTATAGCGAATGGAGCAGCAGCACTGAAACCGGCTATTTGCTTTAAGTGATTATTGAATTTAATGTGTATTCAAAGAAAGACATTGGACCTTCATAATCTTAGGGAAAGGGCTCGGAAAATAAACAAGGCCATGATTTCAATTCAATAAGGCCTAACGTTACACCTATTAGCACTCGAGTAGCCTAGCGTCATTAACTTTTTAGTAGAACATTTTGGGGCCGTAAGACGGTTTTCTAAAGAAAGAATTCACGACACTGCATCAAATCGTGCAGAAATTAAACTGACATTATGGAATACTTACTGAAATCATGGCTGTGAGTCGCTCGACTAGCAGTCATTTTCACAGCTGTCTCCAGACGCCCACGGCCCGACGCCTGCTGCCAGATAGACTCGAAACGAAAGACTTTAGTTCACAAATGTGTGGTGATTTGCGGTTCACACTTTGTTGTAAGGGAGAGAGCATCGTTGGCACTTAATTTATTTTTATGGAGCTGTTAAAAAGAAGCTGTATTTTTGTCATAAAATAACACAATCTGTACAGTAGACCTGTTTACTTACCAACGTTAACACTAAAATTAGGGATCTGCACTTGAGGTAAATCAAGTTTTTCTTGAGGTAAATCAAGTTTTTCCATGAACAAAGAAAACGAACAAACTAAAGCAAAATTAATGTTTTATTTTGGTCTTCGAAGTCGTGTTTACATTGTAAAAGAATAATGTACAACCCACTAAATTGTATTTTAATGTCCATTTAGTATGTTCGTGAATAGCAAACACTGCTCTAACATTGTTAAATTTTCTTTACACACTGCTCCAAAAATATATATATATACTTTTTTTCATAAGCAAGAGTAGTTATATCATGTATATGTCAAAGAGGTAGAATACTTCAATCAAAAAAGATTCTCCCAAAAGTATATACACATAACACCATCTGGAATGTAGAGGGCTAAAAGATACATATACACAACAGTCAATCAAGTTATAATTGCATAAGCTTGTACTGAAGTATTTGTTCAAATAGAAACATATGGGTTTAGTTTAACACCAAATTAAAATTGTTATCATTTATCATCAACCTGTACTATTTACTTTCCTCTGTGGAACAAAAAAGATGATATTCGGCAGAATGTTCAAGCCGCTCTTTTCCGTTAAATGAAAATGTGGGCATTTTGAGGTCTAAAAGTACACCATAAAAAGTAGTCAGAAGAAATACGATACCAAAGTTTACAGAAAGCATGTTTACAAACCAAAATAATCATAATTTGTAGAAAAGCTGCCTCTTTACTGAAGCTCTTAAATGTCATTCACTAACTGTCACGTCAGATCTGACATCATGATTGTAAACGTTTTATCTAATTTCCATAAAATCTGGAGCAACACGTTTTCACGAGGAACTCTTGAACTGAATGAGATTTGACCGTTTCGGCAGAAGAGAAGGCTTATAATTTATTATAATGACACAAAGCGATCGTATGACTTCATAATTACCACTTTTATGGTGTTTTGCCTAGTCCTTGAAAAGAGCTCTGTGCATTGAGCAAAAAAAATCATATTTTGTGTTTCACGGAAGAAATAAAGTCAAGTTTGGAACGTCATGAGATGACCGTATTATCATTTTTGTGTAAATAATCAAAAGGTTTTAGCTTAAACCCTGCTGGTAAACCTATAAGAACACTGTACGATAAATAATTTGCACTTGATTGTAAACATCCTAAAATAACTGAATTAATAGACACAACCCTTGATGGATACATTTCTGGATTAGTTTGTACATTCATTATGTGCAATAACATAAAGGTTTTTGTTATACATATCATCGCCCATAAGCTCCTCTATTATAATAGAAAGTTGCAACTTGCGAGTGAGTATTCGTTATTATCGTTAATAATATATATTTTAAGCGGTTTGCGCTACTTCATGCAAAAATGGTGCATGTTAAAACCAGCAGCCAGAAACTCGTAACTCACTCGTATATACTGAGATATTATTATATTTCAGAGGTGCTGGTGAAAGATGAAGTGTCGGTGCTTGTGTTTTCAACAGCCCTTGAAAACAGTGAGAGCTCAGATCTCAATTAGTTTGATAATAATAACACACATTATGATGTCACAATGGGAAAAAAAAAGACAAGGAGTCCATCCTGTTTCTCATACTGAACAAACAAAGCCCTTCATTTTCCAAAGAAAAATAAGTTTGCTTGCAAATTGGTTGTTGTCTCATTAGCCGTCCGCCGTTGCTTGGAGACAAGCCAACCTTAGACCCCAAATAAAGAAAACACACACTCTTTATCCCTTTCGCTGGCCAAAAATCCCTTTGAAGACGACACGTGGCTGGCGAACCATTTTGCACCTTTCAAATATAGCCCTCGCACTTGATATGTTACTCAGTAAGTACACTCAGGAGACAAAAACGTGATATTTACGTCAGAACAAATTCCCTAATCCAAAGACACAAATATATCCAACGAAACTTGTCGCTGAGCATAAGAATCATAGATAAAACAGGACCAAACAAAAGTACAAAATTCTTCATCTAAAAATATTTTTCAGTACAATTATGTATATTCATACAAGGAGAGTATCTAAAAAAAAAAATAATAATAATAAAAAAAAGAAGAGATGGTTTGAAAGGATGGCCAAGGCAAGTTCGTGTTTTTTTAACAGCATGCAGCAGATTCCAGATCAGTCTGTCATAGCAGGACATATCATTACCATGAGCCGTTCGGTTTCAAAAGCATCTCCGTTCGGCCTCGTTCCCCTTTGCGACAAGAAGCCATCGAATTGGTGGTCACAGTGAAGGCGTCATGAGTCGGAACCAGGCGAGCAGAGCGGGACGGGGGTTAGCGGAAAGTGGCGGCTTTAGTACTGAACATACTCAGACTGAAGGGACTGTAAAAGAGGGGAAAAAACAGAAGATTAAATGATTTAAAAACTAAACATAATTACAGAAAATTACATGGCAGAGGGTAGTTAAATAGTAGTCTAAAAAGCTAACCTGAGACATTACCATCACAGCCCTCGCTGATGTAAATGAGGGTGAGATGAGAATAAAAAGTCAAAGCTTAGACAGGAAATAAATTTGCATTGAATGTGCGAGGGGGGAAACTGAAGGTTAGAAGACACAATTGTACAACATGCACGACAGAATGCTAATTGTTCTTAATTGCTGCAAGGGGGATGGGGGAGGGATAAACGAAAGGGGGGGCAAAGCGTTCAACAGACAATTGTGAAGCAACAGAAAGCATTGTGTTGTGTTCTATTTAGTGTCGTCCGTGTTCTAACGTTTCATCAACGTTCTAAAACCAGTAGATTCGCATTCATTCAAAATCGTAAAAGTTGGAACTATATGGCTACTCAACGCTTTTGAACTTGTTATAAGAATATCTTGGCAAATTTGTGCCCACAGAATACCACAGGTTTCCAACGAATTAGAAACATCCGTAATACCAGTTGTACGAGCGTAAATATGGCTGCTTAAAATAGTTTGAACATCTGATTGGGACATCGTGGCGAATGTGCGAATCTGAACTTGACTGTAAACATCCTGAAAAATCATTCAAAGTTTAAAACAGCTTGTCAGAACACCACTTTCCAGAAAAATCGCATTCATTTCAAATCTTAAATGTTGAACATATGGCTACTTAACGTGTACTTAAAGGGATGATGAACTGAAAAATCAAATTTTCCTTGAGCTTTTGACATCTAAGAGGTCATCATATTATAAGAATATCCTGTAAGTTTCAGAACTGAAAACGTCCTTGTTAGTCCAATAAAAGCTTTTATTGACACCAGGCTCAGCAAACGACACGTTTTTCAAAGTGGGGAACTATGACGTCAAAGAGGATAAAACACCACCCCCGCAGAAGAAGATCAACGCGGCCGGCTAAGCCCCGCCCACCGATTCGTGCATTACACGCATAGCTAAATAACATAGATGCCTACCTCGTGATGACAACCCGGATCGAGCTACCGAGCACAAAATATTGTGCAGCGCCTGGTTGTGAAAGAAGACAGTCGCTGCAAAAGCTTCCTCTGGATTCCAATTGGACTGCATGGATAAACTTTATTTTTAATGACGTTCCAGCGGATGAGGTAAATCATCGTCCGTTTGTTCGCTTCATTTCACTGAGGATTGTTTTGTGAACAAGACTGGATTTGCAAACCGATTAAGAGTAAAGAACGGTGCTTTGACGACTATATTTAATCTGACAGGAATTGTGCAACACGGACTCTAGGTCGAACATGTATGGACGAATCATTCCGGTTGCCGTTTTACAACATTGGACGTTTTCAGAACAATTTCCCCCACATACACCGACGAGTGAGTTGAAACTCATTATAATATGCAAAACTGTTATCCACTCACAGCAGTGGGCGTTTACTTCCAAGTCTTCAGTGCGAGACGCCCATAAAATCCGAGCGTTTTTCAGCTAGGCTCAAAACTAGGTTACAAAATAGCCAATTACTTATTCATTTTGATGTGCAAATGTCATAAGTTGACCTCAGACAACAATATAATCAAATTTAAAAAGCCAGTTCATGACCCCTTTAACTTATGTGCTCACAGAATTCCGCAGGAAGACCCAGAGTTTTCCAACTAATTAGAATGTCAGTCATTCAGTTCTACGAATATTCTACACGAATAATGTCCACTTATTAAATATCATTTAAATTATTGAACTACTTTGATTCAGATATTCAGCTACCTATAAGAATATAGATCAATCTACACAATTGTACCATTTTCAAAATCATTCAATAGAAAATCCAGAAAAAGATTTGTTTGGCCCTGTTGCTGAAAAACCAAGCAAAGTCGTTCATTTTTAATGAGAATAGCATCTGATAACATGATAATGATGAGAAATGAGACAACTTTATACTAATGCACGGCAACCTGAACCAGGCATTTTAAGCGGCAAGAAAACGGATGACATCTTGGCGGTAATTATATTCGCTGTAAGCACCTGGCGTCAAAAAAACGTTGTCAGTTGATCGCCCTTTGAGGAAGAATGTTTAACGGAGCGCAGTGCTGCTGTCAGTGGGAGACAGAATGTGATATTCATTATCACTGCAGAAAAACTTTGAGTCACTTGTGTAGGCGTTGTGGGTTTCTGAACAAAGACGGCGCACTGAGATCTAGAACGGTGAAATGAGCCAATCGTCAATCACATAATCAGGGAGAAATTCTGCCTGGAAAGTTGTGAAATCACATGATAAAACGTACAGTGGCTTAAGCATAAAAGACCCTGATTCACAATGGTGAACAAAAGCACTAAACAGGAAATTGTAGGGGAACTACCGAACTCCCTGAAGCAGGACCGCTTCCAAGAGTTCTGGAGAAGGTCCAAGAACAACAGACCAATAAAATCAGGCTCATGACCTTTCAGTCCAGTCAGAGCCCTCAGGTCACGCAATACCACAGACAAATCTATTTTCTTTGCAGTGGTCAAGTGTTTCTTATAAACCTAGACCTGTTCGGCATTCATTGCTCCAATAAAACATAAACATAAATGAACAAACGCAACCTTTGAACCAAAAAGAAAATCATCTAGTTTCTGAAACCAGTTCAAAGTATGAATCACACCGTAAAAGTTTAAGAACTACTTGAAGCGGGGGGAACATTTGTTTGATAATTTCAAACAATTACTGAATATATTTGCAACGTACACCACTCCCATTGCATCAAACAGCAGCATTGAGGTGCCATTAGTACTTGTTAGCAGCCATGTTAGTGCTAAACCAGACCAGAGCGGTCAGCCTTCCACCATACATGTAAAAAGTACACATATTAGCTATGTTTTAAAGCCTCCATTATGTCCCCTGCTCTGTATTTTTAATATTTGTTTATTTTAGTATTAATTTTCATCAGCGTGGGATGCACTCACAGAAATTGAAGGGCGACGGATTAGCTCAAAATAAAAAAATTAGTCTCATCCCGACCACTCGATTAAAGCTCACTTGACAATAGTAATTAAGTGAATATTAGATCATCCAAGTAAGCGCTTTCTAGAACACACTAGAGACAGACGCACACAGAGTGAGATGTAACATGAGTGAAAAGCATTTTCAGTAAAACAGATGACATGCAACATGCTCAGGGAAGCGTTTAAAAGCATCTGTTAGACTTAGAGAAAACATGTTAATATTTAAACTGATGTGTTGTGTTAGATCAGAGTAAAAGTACCATGGCAACCATAGTTTCCACCAAAATAGCTTTGTTACAGTTGTGAAACAATAAGCCTCCACAATTAGAAATGTAATACGAAGTCATTACTTTGTCTAGTCGCACTCGTCAAACATAATTTCCATATGTCTTGTGAACATAATTTAAAAAAATTAGAAGTCGACCGATATGGTTTTATTCAGGCCGATGCCGATCTTTTGAAATCCGGGTCGGCCGATGGCCGATTAATGCTGCCCGATATTTGCTTGGTTTTTAACCTCTCTTTGAAAGATAAAATGTAAAAGAAATGATAATTACTTAACATAGACAAACTTTCTCAACAAAAACATTTATAAAAATGTCCTGAAACATGCATTTTTGGTTTGTTTTGTTTGTTGACGGACAAAGACAAATGGACATAACCTAATTATCACAAAAAAGGAGAAAAAAAACTTTAAATTATTTAATTTTTTTTTATATATAAGATTTATTATATTTTATTTACTTCAAACAATAACTTCTAACAATAACGTATTTCACTAGTAAATTGCTGTTGAACGACAAAAACAACCACCAGATGGGAAAATTATATTTTACAAAAACTTTAAAATGCACCACAACGCACCGTCTGTTGTTCTTCAGACAAAGGCATCCCGCTGTTGGCCCTTTTAGTCTACAGTGAAATACAGTCACACTTTACACTGTTTGCCCAGCATTTTAACCCTGTTTAATCCAGCTACTAAACAACGGTCAGTGTTGAACGTATTCGTTCATGAATGCATTCATATTTAGGTCTGCTGCTCACTCGGCTGGAAAATGACTCTAACGGCAGCGTGAGTCAAAAACGTGCTCCACGACAACACTAGGCTGCCCACAGATGCGCCTGCCTAATAATCGGCTTGATATACTTGGATTTTGGCCGATGCCGATTATGTTAAAAAAATGCCAAAAATCGGCCGATTAATAAAATCGAGTCTACCTCTAAAGAGTCTTAGAGTCTACCTCTAAAAAAATATTATAATACACTTCTAAATATTAAAATTACATACCAATTTTATTAATTGAAAATGTTTCGAATTTTAATTTAAACAAGTTTGTTAATTTTCAGATTTTTCTGTAAATATTTTGTGAATTATTTTTCTTTACAACTCATTTTACATCATTATATTACACAATATATAATATAAGTGAATCAAAACCTTTCATCAAAGTTATACACTTGTTGACTACTGTGTGTGTGTGTGCGTGTGTAAAGGAAATGTATATAATTAAAATTTATATAAATCAAATATTACCTTAAATACGGTTTTATTAACGTATTACACAGGCAAACTTAAATTAAAGATTTTAGTGACCACATTGAATTCCAAATAGAATTTATCAACAGTATAAGCAAAAATATATTAGGCACCATTCACTGTAGATTTGATGAAAGAAAAGAGTTATTTGTGAACTACTTAACTATGGCATCTTAGCAGAAACCAACGGTTACCATGGTAAATTGTATGAAATGCTGCTGCTGGGTGTGTATCTTGGGAGGGCTGATGGGAGGAGAGATCACTTACGGGAATGGACCGGCTGAGGTAGCGTGCAGAGAGCCCGCTCAGCCCTGTCGCGGGGCTTCTGTGGTGCCCCTGTTCACTGGCCCCCAGCCTTCCATTGGTGGAAGGTCCGCTCAAGCCGGTGTGGTTGAGGTTGTAGGTCACACTTTTTGCCCCGCTGCTCGGGCTCACCCCGTTGGTGTTCGGGGTGCTGGTGGTGTTATACTGATTGTTGTTGTTGTTGACCTCGTAGTGGTAATTGTGTGGGGCGATCGGGCTGCTGTAGCCCGTGCGGACGGGGTGGGAAGTGAACGAGGAAGGGGAAGGTGGTTTCCCAGAGCCGTTTGCTTCGCCATTTGGTTCGTACAGGTTGCCCAAAGAGCTGGCTAACCTGGTGCTGGAGGATGGGATGGAGGGGAAACAGACATGAAGGGTGGAGGAAAGGGAGGACACACTCATGCCCATATCTACACTGCAGGACATGGAGATCATGGAAAATCTTCTGACAGAAGAATGAGGAATTGCATGTAGATTGTATGTACTCTCAACCTGGAATAGGGCTGGGCAACGTACTCAAAATTGACTACGGAAAAGTCTCTTTAAACTTAAATGAATTTAACTTGCCAAATGTAATGCCGTTTCTGCCACTTATGTAAATCAAAATTTTGATTCAATCATATGTTTGTGTCATCCCTCAATGTTCGCAGAATTATAATTTTAATTTTAAGTGAAAATGAATATCGGCACGTTTTAAATGCTTAAGTATAATAAAGAAAAATGATTAAACTGCATCCTTTAAGTCAATAATGAAGAATTTTATTCAAAATTCTCTTTATAAATTCACAGCTAATAAAAATCTTTTCAGTGACTTTAAAAGGTTTTCTCTTTGTTAAGTGACCAAACAAGTAATAAGTAACATTTAAAATATATTTATCCAATCCAAAAAACTTTTTATCCAAAAAACTTTTTTGGGGGGGTCATAAGGTAAAAAAAAACCTGCTATTAATGTTTTCGCTTGCATTGAAAATATTAATAAAGAACAAATAACATTAAACAAACGTTTTATTAAAGGGTTAGTTCACCCAAAAATGAATGTTTTAATGTTTGATTAAATGTTTTAATCAAACAGATCTCATTCCCCATTGACTACCATAGTAGGAAACATACTATGGTAGTCAATGGGGAATGAGATCTGTTTGATTAAAACATTCTTCCAAATATCTTCCTTTGTGTTCAGCAGAACAAATAAACACATAGAGGTTTGGAACAACATGAGGGTGAGTAAATACTGACAGAATTTTCATTTTTGGGTGAACTAACCCTCTAACATCACTGCAGAATAGTCAAATTTCAGTGAATGTTCCCATATTTTTTATTATACATCTATAAAATATCGCCCAGCCCTAGCCTGGAGAGTGTTAGAAAGCGCTTTTCAAGATGGTCTGAACAGTACTAGAAAGTAGTGGGTGTGCACTTGGTCCAAAAATACATCAACATGACTCGACAAGTGCAAGTTTGGAGAGAGTGTAACTGTAGTAGGTAGGTGATATGGCTCTGGCTATTTGATTACATAAACGGCAGGGAACGAGTCGCTTGAAACCAGTGCACCAACAGCACGGCGCAACCAACTTGATTCCTTGCGTTTACGGCTCTCCGTTTCAGAGCATAGGGTAGTCACAGAGAGGAAAGAAGGCCACCAGGGAGCTGGGAGGAAAGAAGGCAGGGGAGAAAGAAAAGAGGAAGAAGAAGTTACACAAAAGAGTTGGTGGACAAGTGAGAGAATAAGCAGACAGAAGAAAGATATGGAGAGTGTAGAGAAGATTGGAGGAAAGCTGATTCGAAGGGAGGGCAGGCTCACCTCTTGAGGTTGGTTGATGAAGATGAAGAGCGACCAATGCGCTTGGCAGAGGCTGAGACGGAGACGGAGGAGGATGGTGGGACTTTGGAGGATTTTAGGGGGGAGATGGAACCCTGGACAGTGGCTGTGGGTTTCATGCGGCTATAAAACAAACAAACACAAAATTTGAAAACAAGAGTTTTCAGAGTGGATTTGAAGTAAAAAAAAAAGCAAAAGCAGGTCTGCAATTATATAAAAGAGCACTAAATAAAAAAGATACAGTAGTCTGGGCTGCTACTGGGAATCATTTAATCTCCAAAATCCACTCCAGTGTCATGAAAAATGCCATACTGACTATTTATAAGTACATGTTATGTTCTTGCCAAAAACTTCTGCCAGGAAATCAACAGTTTAGAAGAAACTTTTATCAGAGGCATCACTTAAGGGAACGAGAGTGTTGTTTTAAAGAGGCTTTGTTTGAGGAAAAATAAATCAGGAAAAAGAGGCAGGGAGGAAGTTACTAGCGAGGATCCAAAAAAAAAAAAAATAGCCGTTTTACACTTTTTGTTCTGGTCTTCATCCTTCAGTGTTCTTTATCTCTATATTTGAATCTGTCCCATAATAGTAAAAATGAAACTTGGCTCTCAGCTCTTTCCCTCTCTCCATCTTGGTGTGTATCAGCTAAATACAAAAACAAACAAATTTTCCACAAGCTCATCCTTCATTCTTGTGAGAAGGAGCTGAGACAGGAAGTGTAGGAGGGCCAGTTATGTCCAAGAGGCCTCTTCAACTCGCCGCTCTTCATGGGAAATTAATTAAGGACTGCGCATTTGCTAACGAAGGGGTGTTTAATTTACATCTGGGTTAAACGTCCTAAAACGGGGCCTGTTCAAATTATTGACGACATCAAGCACACGAGGATGAAGAGTCCTATCCTTATCGAGCGGTACTTCAAGATCCTGCTTTGTTAGCGTTGTGCGCAAGGAGGGGTTGGAAATTACGATTCGCCAGGGTATAATTAGTCTTTTAAAGGGTGAAGTAGGTAGAACGCCAATCGTAAGTCGGCTGTGTTTATTCCTTGGGCTATTTTTGTAAACTTAAAATAGCTAGTGTACTGAGCCCACAGCTTATGCAAAGCATTTCAGAGGGGGCCATATTTTATAGTTTCAGAATTGTATTTTTTTTTTTATGTATTTATCCAAAGATCAGACCAAAAGACTTTTATATGTAAATTACCTACCTTATGACCTTTAAAGAAAACAAAATAAAAGTTTGGAATGAAAAGTTACCCGAGAGGCTGAGATGGAGACTTGGTGTGCATCTTCATGTCCTCGAGTCTGTTGGAAGAATATTGAGATGACACTGGGGTCAAGTACACACTGCTTGGTTATGTAACAAACTGTTACATATAGCTGTATGTAAAAATTGAGTTTCAAGTGAAACAAAATGATATTCAATGCCCAAAACATCTACATTTGCTAAACTGTGCAGTACACAAGCAGAGCACACTGTGTGAAATACTATATCCCACAATGCAATGCACTCAACAATCGTCAATTTCTAGTATTACAAATCCAATCAAACTGCCTTTTAAAAATTATTTATATACAGAAATGTTTCTGAGGTAATATTTGGATAGAAGTTGAAAACGTATATATATATATATATATATATATATATATATTCCCAGTAAAAATTGCCTTCCTCCCCTCCTAAGTTCAAACTTAGGACTAAAGGATGTAAAAGCGGAAAGCAGAATGTTTCTCAATGGTCAGCCAATCCAAAGGTACAGAGAAAACATCTCTCCAAGACAACAGAAATGCCATGTTACTATGCCAACTAGCTCTGTGCCCGATACATCAGTGCTCTTACCAATCTGTGTTCTTTTAGCTCGGTCTTGCATTTTAGAGTGGACTGGAACACTAACTATGGCCTGGCGTCATTTATCTCTTCACTGAGCTAAAAGCTAATGGAAGTTGAAAGAGTTGTGATAAAAGACTTCATGAACGGGAAGGAACGAGTGTCATTTATGTAATGTGGCTCATTATATGGACATCTGAATAGAAGATGTAATATTAGCCTTAGACCAGCTTTGCTTTTTATCTCTAGGTTGAGATTCAGGACCAAAATAGACTACTGCATCACAAAAACGCAATTTGAATCAAAATGAGTTATACTCTCAGCGTTGCCACATGTGGCCCGATTGCAGGTTGTCTTATAGCTCAACCAACTAAAGAATATTTTTTTCCTTCAAAAACCAAAGCAATGGCATCTTACCTTATGGCTCCAGCAGTTGCAGACCTCGGCTGCCGTCGACCCTTTAAGGCACGCAGTTTGTCTCCTTGTGTCATACCGAGATCGTTCTCAGTGTAATCATTCTGTCGAGAGTTAGAGAACATTGATACAGCTGACATAATTCCAAAGAGGTGATGCTTGACTTAAGTTAAAGGTCTAAAATCTGATTTATACTTCACATATGCACTTATATTTAAAAAAAATTATTTTAAGTAGTAATATAAAGAAATAAAGGCAATAAATATTTTCTTTTTTTACATTACATTTGTACATTTTTTCATCAATATGTATATAGTGGTTACGACCCTCTCTAACATTATACTCTAGAAATAGTCATATATTTTAAATAAATATTTTCATGTTACGGCTGTTAATCATTAAATAGCTGATATTCATATTCTGGATTATTTGCGTCTAAATTAATTACAGTATAAAGGTGGGGACCTTGCAAAACATAGCATCTTCCGCAGGAATATAATTTTTTTATAGTGAATTAAACTACTAATTAAATATATAAATATATATATATAATACTATAAAGAAAACAATTATATATTTGTTAATTTTTTAAGCAATTCGGTTTAAAAATCATTCAAATTTACTTGAACAAATGTAAAAAAAAAAAATCACTAAAAACTAAAATAATTTGAAATTCTACAAGTGAATTTAGAACATTTTCTTTACTGCTTTAATTCTGTATATTTAGTATCTAAATGTAAAAAGAAGAAATAAAAGTTCTATATCGACCGATGTGGAAAACTAAAAATCCCTAATCTACAATATATATGGTACTGATATATTGTGCATCCCTAATATAAATAGATTTTTTGTTTAAAGTCCCATTAAGCCTCACCTCCTCCATACGGTCCAAGCTGTGGGATTTAAAGATGGAGGTGCTGATGGAGAGGTTGTCAATACTAGAGATAAGGTGAGGCACGGATCTGTCCTCATACTGCCGCTGCTTGGACCGGTGAATGTCTCCATGAGCCCAGAGACTCGCCTGCTTCCTGTACAGGTACAAAGACAACAGTTCCCATTCAATGTCTTGTGTTGCACAAATAATTCAGCCATATGAAAAGAAATCTTGTCTCAGATTGAACCGTTTACTCAATTCCAAAGCCCGATAACGGACACTATGTGTGCAGCACACAGGAAGGGGAATCTCAAACGTCTCATAGTGTTCTAAGGTGGAAAATATGCCTGAAGATAACGTTCGTCTATCCAGCGGAGGGCATTCTCTCACACAGCGGACCACAGCATTGTCCAAGCCCAACAAAACATTAGAGAGATTACGTTTAACTGACCTACACATGGCCAGTGCTCTGTTTTAACTCAGACATGACAACCGAACCATGGTCTGATTTTACAACGCACGAAAGGCCTCATTGATAGACCAAAGCCGAATCAAACTCCACGAGCACGCCTTTTCCCAAGCCAGAGTTGGATGATTCAGTCAGATCTGGAACATCTGCTGACCTTCCTTATCTGCTTAGCAAAGGAGTGCGCTCTCGAAATACACTCTTACGCTGTTGAAAATACACGCCTTTGAGCCAAAGTTAGAGCACTCATCGACATTATGTAAACGTAGTGCACAATAAAAAAAAAGGGAAAAAAAGTTGTTAAGAGGCCAAAAGTGGTGCATTGTGGGTACTTACTCTTCTAGGTAATGCTGCTGGGGTCCAATAACAGAGCCGGGTCTGCAGACACGGATCCAAGCGATGGCTTCAGCAGCTGTGAAACGGTAGTGCTTCATTAGGTAGCAGCCAATCAGAGTCCCCGTCCGGCCTAAACCCGCTGTGATTGGTAGGAAAAAGGTCACAGGTGTTTAATGGTCTTATTGATGCACTTCCATTGCCACTTTACCCTATATTGATTATTTGGCTAATGCTTGTTAACATTTCATTTCCCTTTTAGTTCTTGTGAGACCATAAACCCGAAAAAACCCTTCTTCATCGAGTCGGATCAATAACACAGCATTTCAATGATAAAAAGATCATTAACATATTGACAACGGTTGTCTTGCTAGTAGGTCAATGAGGTGATGCTGTGCAGCCATATTTCCATGTCTTTAATTTAAGTGGCGTCTCACCCTTGCAGTGCACGGCCACCGCTCCATCTGTGCTCTCGCAAATGTGCAGGAAGCGGCGGGTGATGACGTCACTGGGTGTGCTTCCGTCCACGAAGAACAGATCGTAATGGTCGAAACCAGCATCTGTGAAGCGCTTGGATTCGTAGATCTTCTTGTTGAGGCGCACTATGGTGGTGATGTTGTGCTTGCGGAAATATGGAAAATAAGCTTCGGGGGCATGCAGAGGATAACCTGCCACACAAGAGAAGAGGAACTCCATACATTTGTCATTTCTAGTATTATACATGCATGTTAAAAAAAATAATATAATTGAGATATATTTATAAATATATTAGGGCTGTCAAATGATTAATCGTAATTAATCACATCCAAAATAAAAGTTTTTGTTTACATAATATATGTGGGTGCACTGTGTATAAATATTTTATTTATATATATATATATATATATATATATATATATATATATATATATATATAAATATAAATATTTTATATATAAATAATATTTTTTTCTTAAATATACATGCATGTGTGTGTATTTATATATATATAAAAAATAATTATACACAGTGCACCCACATATATTATGTAAAAAAAAAAAATATTTTGGATGTGATTAATCATTTGACAGCCCTAAAATATATACCATTACATATTTTAAAAATACATATATTTCACATATATATACTATTTTATCGAACTGTGGGAAATAGCATATATTAAGAAAAATTACATTTTTATATATTAATATAATACCATTACATTATTATATATTGTTATTTAAACATTTTTATATAACATTTTTATATATTTTTAAAAAATAACATGCATACACACACATATATATATAATATGAATTAAATAACTTGGTATGTAATCAATTATAGTGTATAATAAATTAATTTAGTAAAAAAAAAAAAGCATAAATTGCATGCCAAGGTTTAATACTTTGGATTAAGGATTTAAACAAATACCTAAGCCCTAACTGAACAATCTGCTTTAAAAAAAACTATCTAATATATTAGATATATTAGATATCTGATATCTAATATTAGATATCAGATATCTAATTCAACATATTAGATATCTGATATCTAATATGTTGAAATCTCTACCTATATGTGTGTGATTCTGTGATGACTTGTAAAACAAGGGCACCCTCTACTGCCACACAAGTAAATTACAGCAAACATCATGTGAGTGTAAGTGCAATACAATATATGGCTAATACATGGAAAGCGGCCTTACCATTCTCAATTTTACTTTTCGGATGTGGACCGCTGAAAGCAAGAAGTTTGCCCGGGACAATCCAGTTCAGATCTCCATTCTCGACACGCTGGAAGGACACAAAGTTGATCAAGGGATGGAAAATGAATAAAGACAAAGGGAACAGATCAAAACGAAATGAACCAGGGAAGTTTGTATAACAGCCAATCGAGTATCTTTTATAAATGGCAAGTAGTACTGTCCTGAAACCCAGGGTTAAACAAGACGTAACCCCTTCAAATCAGAGAGCACAGCGGGTAACGGATTAACACAAGCCAGAAAATTTACATAATACTAAAGGACAAATCAATCGAATGCTCATTTGACGGGAATTGTTCCAGTGATTGTCTAAACTGAGATGTGCAACAACCTTGTAGCAGATTATAAACACAGGTAGGCGACATATAATCATGTTGTGTGCGATCGAGTCGAGACTTTCATTACGTTAAACTGTCTTTTGGGTCCCAGTGGAATAAACATGATTATGTAACCGGCTTGAAGAGCAATGAAAGTACTTCTGGGTAAAAAAAAACATTGCCTGCTGGTCCGCCTAATGAGCACATTTCATATTGAGGGGGCGAAGAGGGGCATCATTACCTCATAATGCTCATACTCATTCACGTCGAACGTCTCGAAGTTCAAGAATCCGTGCTGAAGGGCCTGGAAAACAAAGTTAATAATAAACATTACTTAGTCATGTGCATTTGTAAGGTGAATTTCCCCTGAAAGTCTCAAATTATTTTTCCCCTAGACCCTAAACAAGCACACATCCATGACGTCTGACTATGTTTAACCAATTAGTCAGTGTAATGGGGCTAAAGCGGTCTGTCTGGTACTCAATGAAGAGCTGCGCGGGAAGACATTAAGGAAAAAGGCACACGAGTCGATAAGCCGTGGCAGTGAGCGATGAGGGCCGCGTCTAATGGAGAGTCAGATTTCTGCTGCTGTTGGCGTCCACAGCATTTCTCACAGTTGGCTACCAGAGAACTGGTTAAAAGGTGCACAAAGTCTTTTATTCTCGCTTATTCACTTTATTAATAACTAATAAAGCTGGACTTTATACTGCTATATAAATGCAGCATCATACGAAAGCAAAGACTTGCTGTCCTGCTCACAGATGAGCCAAAGAGATACGCAGTCCTCTTTTGAACTCTGATATGTCCCCTCCCCATTATGTTGTGTGGATTACAACAGAAGAGTCGGATTTGGGTGGTCACATGACCTCAAGATGTAATATTTAGTGCACCTTTCAGAATCTGGATGGGAACAGACCACTGAAAGACTGTCACTGAAACCATCCAACCGTGGAACATGCCGCCCTGAGCTGCAGGGTTGAACCTGTCAATCAAAACCTAATCGGAGCTGAGAGAGGGCACTACACAGCGGGTGAGTGATTATCACAAGCTGGCAAAGTCGCATCACTGTAATGGACCAATCAGCTGAGTGCGTTCAGGTATGAAACGCAACACAAACAAGTCTACACGTGCAGACGTACAACTGGCGTCCGTGTCCGTTTACGCCATCTGGGTGCACTGACAGATGTGTGTGCACCTGATACAGCGAGCCGTCTCGCTCTAAGTCTGATGTTATGTAACTGTTCTTGGTCAGGTTTAAATCGAATGAGCCCAGCCGCCCTCCTCCCCTCTGCAGTCGACTGGACAAAGAGCTTACAGTAGAAATCCTCTTCTGCAGTGTCAATGGATGGTGTGGATGAGCTGCTCTTAATTACTGCCAACTAGAGCCCGACCGATACAAATATTTGTTGGTTTTAAAAACCGATATATCGGCCGATAATTTTTATTTATTTTTTTTTTTATTATTATTTCAGAAACGCGCAACAAAACATTAACAGATTTCCCTAACATTAGTTATTTGTAGTTATTTATGAGTTTTAACTAAACTAATATGATAATTCACTTTAAAAAGAAACTTGTTTCTTTTATTGTCACAACAGAAGAGACTGATGATAGTGGCATTAGCTAGCTTTGTGGTTAGCTAGTCTATAATGAGCCATAAATTAGCAATGGATAAGGTCATACTGCAAATTGTAAAACATGCATTTCAATATAACAGGCCAAGGAGAGATGATGCGTCTCATGGCTATAACGGTCACACGCTATTAAAGAAATACTTCAGTCACATTGTCAAAATTTAAAAGGACAGTCAGTCAACTACACTGTAAAAACGTAACGTACCTATTAATTCCGCTTCACTCTCGGCTAATTTAACAACAGCAAAACTGGACATGACAGTCACAAATTTTGTCAACTCAACGAGTGTTGCCAACAGGGACGGTGTAGAGTGCCCTCTGGTGGACAAACTATACAACTCCAACACTCATGACATGGTTGAAGCCATGTTTCGTCCGTTTTTTATTTTATTTTTGAAATATTAATTTATCGGCCATTATAACTGCCGATACCGATAGTTTGGAAAATGCCTAATATCGGCGTGCCGATATATCGGTCTGGCTTTACTGCCAACGCTACCAAAATCTCCAGTTTCCTCACTTTACCCTTGCAATGGTAATGGTGGAGTGTAGTGGGCTGGTAATCTACAAGCGAACTTCACACTTGATTAAGATGCCCTGTGATGCTCCAGGAAGGACGCTCTAGCGTCTTTGGTTAAAGCTTGAGAATAAAACCTGGTTAGCTTACAAACAATAGTCTAAAACAAAGCCCAACATGACTGATGGTTAACATGTATTGGTGGCATTGGCTGAATGTTCAAGACGGAGTGGTTACATATTATATAAAAAATTTAAAGCAATAAAGTCGTAATTGTTTTTCGTAATTGCGACGTTTTTTACAATGTGATCTCGCAATTGATCCATTGTTTGACAATTTGCAACTTTCAGCATAATTGTGACTTCATATCTCACAATATGACAATATAAAAATCACAATACTGTCACAGTTAGGAGAGATGTTAAACGTTTCTTGCAATTTAGAGTTTCAGACAATTAGCAACATTTGCGACTTCATCTCACAACTTGACTATATCCGAAAACTGTGATGTTAGTCACAATTACGAGAAACAAATTTACAAGAGAAAAAATATAGGTAGTTACAAAATCACTTTGTGAGATAAAGTCGAAATTACAAGAAATAGAAAAAAGTCGCAATTATTTGTGTAATCTATAATTACTACGATGATTCTCACAATTGGCACATTTTTCCAATCATAATCGCGACTTAATTCTTAAAAATTTAGATATTGTGAGTCACATTTTCAGATATGAAGTTGCAATTATAAGTGAAAAATTTGCTGATTGTGAGAAACAATGTAGTCATTGTAGAAATAAAGTCGCAATTACTAAAAATAATTCTCTTTATATTTTCATTAAACTCGCGACTTTATCTCACAACATGATTTCAATTACTCAAGTTTTTCATTCGCATTTTTTTTTCTCGTAATTGCGTCTTTATATCTAACAAAGTCGCAATTTTAATTTAACATGAATATTTTATTTTTAATTAATTAATTTAATATTAATTCGCAATTAAGAGAAGCAAATTTGCAAGAGAAAGTCAGAAATTGTGTGTAACAAAATCACATTGTGAAATATAAAGAAATACAGAAATAAAGTCACAATTGCCACTCAGTAAAAACATGGCAAATTTGGATTTTCGTGTTAACTTGAGAAAATTGCTCTGCGGAGTTTGAACCTAAACTCTTTGGTTACCAGCCCAGATGTTTACCCATTAGATAAACCCAAATAACTAACAAAAACAAATTAACTGCTCTCATCTCGACAAATAGGGCATTAACTCCCCCTTTGGCAGCTCGGAGAGAGGGAGCAGTGGTGATTTGATCATTATCAGGCTTCAGTGTTTATCACACTCACAGATGCCGTGTGACTCATGCAATTAAGGAGCTGTTAAAACATGGCTTTTAATTAGAGCCGGAGGGGAGGCAATGATAATGTCACATACATCTGTCTCAAAGCAACAACTACTATCTAGACAGCCGAGCACAGGATGCCATGAGGGCCCAAATGTCTGCATGTCCAGTTTCTATATTTTAACTTATGCAGTCTTGAAGTAACATTTTAAAGGGGATGAATTTAAATATTTGATTATTTTTGTATATTCATTTATATTCTTTTATTTTAATTCATGTTACTAACATTTTTATAACATTTTACAAAATCTAAATGATCCATTTACAATTCTTCTTTGAGCGTGTGATTTAAATAAACATAAGCAAATGAGGGATGGGTTTGCGTTTGAAGGATGCTGATATTTTTTCTGACGCAGGTTAAACAAAAATACATTCCAGACAGTTTAAGCGGCGTGAAGGATGTTTTTGAATAGCAAGCATGTAGGAATTCACTGTCTGTGCTCAACAAGTCTTTCCGGCGGGTCGAGCTGGAGACACATCGATACCTGCAGACGCACTGGACTGTTGCTGAGATACTCCCAAAACAGACGTGACTGAAAAACTCACGTGAGCGCCATTTACCTAGAAGCAAGTTTAACAACTTTGAGTAAAGATTTATAATAGAAACTTATTATGCAATGCTGTTTGCTCAGACAGAGGCTAGAATTGCTTCCTTTCCAAACTGCAATCATGAATATTATTCATTATAAGGGTTATGGGGTGTTTTTTTTTTAATGTCTCAGTTCACTAATTTAAGAAAAACTGAATATTCAGACAATTCCAGGCAATTTTGCAATTTTCCAATCATTTATTCCTGCGATGGCAAAGCTGAATTATCAGCAGCCATTCCTTCAGTCTTCAGTGTCACATGATCCTTCAGAATCCTTACTAGTTGCTAGGGCTGCACGATTATGACAAAAATCATAATTGTCGATTATTCCCTTGAAATTTTAATTATTTGCTATTATTAAAATTACATGAATGTTTTGAATAGTTTTTTATACATAAACATAAAAAAGCTGAAACCACTCTTCCTGAAAAACGTATTAAGCCTCGAAGGTCAACTATACATTGGTTCGGTTTCCTTAAATAAAAAAAATTTAAAAATAAAAACATGCATAGTATAATATTAGGGCTTTCACACCAGGTAGTTCTAAGAACTTAAAGGAACTAGACATCAGGGTGGTTCCCTGAGAACTAATGTTCCCCTAGGGCCATTTTCCTGGTTGCATTCGCACCACCAGTAGGAACTCTGAAGTGACGTAAGCCATGCTTGTTGTTGTTGCTTTTAATTTGATGGCGCCAAGAATGGCAAAGCCCAAGCACACAGCACTCCCATTCTCCATCTTTATTAGTTTACAATCTTGTCTAATACATTATTAGATAGAACTGTTACACAAAATAGACAGTATATGAGAAAGTATTAGCATTTGCTGTGTGGTTGATGCCAATCATGTCATGTCAAGTTACATTGGATTTTCTCCTTAATGTGAAAGCAGGGGTCGGCAAGTAAGTTTGGAATCGGGCCAAAAAAATTGCCAGAACGTAATCAAAGAATAAATTAAGAAATGAATTGATGAAAAAAATGCAACTAGAATTGCCTGTGACAGACAATTCTCGTTACAGTGTCTTTTACAACTGGTAGTGAGCTGTTACTCTGTGTTAAAACCTATAGTAGGACAGTCAAAGTCAAATTTGTCAAATTTGTGTAAATGTAATGTGGCAAAAGAAATGATTATGATAATGATTTTAATTGTTTATTAATAAACTAGTGTTTTCTCTGTCATTGTCGGCTGCAATAGTGACCGCAGTACTGTCTGTGAGGCAGCTTATACGCTGAGTTTCGGTTCATTTATGAGACAAGCTTTAGTTAACATGCAATGGATTGATCGAGCCGGCAACTCTGATTATTTTGTCTGCTTTATTTGCTTCTTATTTATTAAATCCAGTCAATTGGGTGGATGACACGTTGATTAAAATTAAGATACAATTAATACAAAACAAAATTCACTTTAAAGAAAGGCTTTCTACAAAACAAAACTTAATGAAGTGGTCAAATCATGTCTGACCCCAATGTCTCCCGATATATTGCGTCATCTTGCAACACATCCCTTGCTAAAACAAATCCCTTTCTAAAACACATAAAAATAACTCAAAAAGTAAAAGAGGACTTGAATAAGCCCATTAATGGCATGTTTGAGTCATGCTCTTAACGACTTAATGAACTATTTTTTTATTTCCTCTTTCCATATTGGGAATAATAAATGTCTGATTTTAAGTTTAATTTCAAAAGTCAGATTGTAACTGGATTTCAAAACAAATATAGATGTGGTCTGAAATGGGTTTGTTAATTTATGTGTTGTTGTGAATACAAAACAAAATGGATTTGAGTGGAATCCACCAAAAAAGAAAAAAAGAAAGGCTGCCTATTTTAAAAAAACACAGAGAAAGTAAAATCATTCATGTGTTTAGCTAACCCACTCTCATACCAGTCAGAGAAAGAGACTGCACAATAGGGGGCTAAGGAGAGATTCATTGCCACTGTGGCTCGAAGTGAAGACACCTGTCGTGTTATATAAGCCATGAGCAAGAGAACATCCCTGAAGCACTTTTTCAAATCACGCAGACACAAATGTTCTGCTTATTGCCTAATGTACAGGTTTCTAGTCTTACAATGGCTGTCCAAGAAGGATTAAGTTAACAATCAGTATCTATGGGTATAATCCTGGATTGTTGAATGCTGAAACACTTAAAACCATGTTTACGGGCTAAAGTAAGCTGCAATATCGTTATACAGACTGATACATTTGCATTAGTTATTAAACAATTAATTATAATTTATATTTTTTTTTAATAATAATAATAATAATATCCACAAATTGGGGAATTATTATTAATATATTATTTAATAATATTTTAAGAAAGAATAATACATTATTTAATTTTGCATATAGTATGGTAAATATTCAGTGGTGAGATAAAAACATTTGCATAGTACTATAGTGTATATCTCACCTTCCTAATGCCTTGCAAGGAGTCAAGAACCGTCAGATTGTATGTGCAATTCCCAAATGAAGCATCCCTAGAAGAGAAAAAAAAGGCAGTATGTTAAAATTGCGTGGGTGTATTCACACAAGATACAATCTAACAACAAAAAGAAACACCCACAAGAATATAAAGTCATGTTATGAGCAAAGAAACAGGAACACAGACACTGGATAAAAGCTGCAGACCCGAGAGCTGAAGTTTAAAATCAGAGTCAACAATAACATACCCATGAAAACAAGTAACTGGGTCAGGGCCTTTGTGTTTGGATGTGGGAGAGAAGGTAAAGCGACATGCGAGACTGTGTTGGCTTTTGTCGTCTGTGTTCACAAAGAAAGAAAGTGTACATGTGGGTCTCCAACAACACGATGAGTTACATCTCCAGGGTCAAGGCGAAATCTTGATCACAAATATGAGGAAGTCCAATTTGGGTTTGTTTGTGTACCTAAAATAATGTCATTGGGTCAAGGGAAGAGAAGGTTGTAATAAAATACCCAATGCACACCCCCTTGCCTAACGCACCTCAAGGAACAGGCTCTTTGTGCCAACTTAAATTGAGTTTTGCATTATGCATGCACTTAATTTGCTGTTTATGATGCAGGCTGGGTTGCATAAAAAGTGGGTCAGTGTTCTGCTGGGATCCTTTCATTAGTCTCCCAGTGTGCCCCAATGGAAAGTATCATGCTTCATTCACCCACACATAGAACACGTACTTGACCACATCACACATACGTATAACTCCCAGAAGAGGGCATGAGATCTTCTGTATTGGTCCACTACTTCATGGTAGCCCAAAAAAATATATCAAAATGGACTTGCCATTAGTAAGTTGAATTCTTCAAAGCACTGTGGTTAAATGTTGGTGCCATGAATGGCTTTCAAAGTAACATTTCATTAGGGCTGCATGATTCATCGAAATTAAACCAAATAAAAATAAAAATTAAACCAAGCCAAATATCATAATCGCAATCAGCCAAATCAGTTTAAGCACCATTTCATGTTAATTGTGATTGTCCTCATTTCCATTCTAACTTAACCCCAGTTTTCTTCTAAAGGGGAATATTAAGATAAGTACCTTGGCTCAAGAAAAAACAGTGGTGGTTTTCAACCGGCAGCTTCCGGATACCAGCACAGATGTTTAACCACCACTAGGCTATACCATCACCAACTCAAACATGAAGAGAAAAACAGTCATGTTATGTTATAAAGAAGAAGAAAACAATATCATGTAATGTGTTATAAAAATGTATTTAAAAAAAATACAAGAAGAAAACCCAAGCAAGTTTCCAACAGAGCTTTGAAGAAAATTGTCTTTTGTTCACACAATCATATGTACCACATACTGACAACAGGATCCAAAAACAGCAGGAGACTTTCCCACCAGCCAGAGGCTCATTCATCTTCCTTTCTACAGTACAGAGAAATGTTGAGCCAATCCATTTAGCTCACTGGCACCAATTATAGACTAACATCCTGAGGATTATGTAATGTCTCACCTCCATTACTGGAGGCCAGGAAATAGACAACCCTCATTCAAAAACAACCCATCTTTGTCCACTTTTAAATTAGTAATTTAGTGGATGCTTTCAAAACATTGCAAGGGACTTACGAAAAATTACAATGAAAGTCCCACCACAGAGTAGCCAAAAGGTCAAGTGCCTTACATGAGGGGTCTGGAACTTTCGGTTATCAGCTCAGAACTTAAATCCATAGACTAGACAATTAGATGAACAGTTTTGGCTGAACAAGCAATTATATAAGTTCCTATAAGGGGCAAGTCAGACAATTCCATCTCACGGACTGCGTCAACCGTAATTAGTTTCTCCAACAAAGAAGGTATCGGATAGGGCTGTTGGTCACAGCATTCACATATAAATCTGCATCTCTACAGTCTTAGGCTGGGTTTAAAATGCTGGGATAAGCAGAGCTGTTAAGCACAGGGTGTGTCCTGGGCAAGCACTGTAGAGGAGCAAAGCAGGACAAGCTTACCGATGCAAAAACCTGAAGTAGAACATTAGTGCCGTTACGTAATCATCACCATGGACATGATTTGCTATAGCAAATACAGATTTACAGCCACGACAGTGGCCTATGTAATCATATCAGGTCAAAGTTCCTTTGAGACTTAGTAGGCTGGGTAACTTCATGATTTAAATATGATTAAGTCCAAAACAGCAAGAAAAAAAGACAGATAGAGATTAGAGGATCAAGAGCTGAAAGAAGAAATAACAGGGCAATGAAAGCCCAAGGGAGGAACTCTGATTGGATTTGAAGTTGATCGTAGCCCTGGTGGAAAATGGACATGACAGGATTTTATGTAAGGTCTTGATGACGAAATGTGACGGTGATCGAATGAGGAAGGAATACATGAGTTAAGTTTAAATTTGCCCACCCTTCCTTGTAGGGAACCCACCATTCCTTGGTGGAGTTTCTCATTGAGTCAAACGACTTTAAGCATTCTTCATCTAGATTAGTTGGGCCTACAAAGATTGCGCAAAATCAGTTCAAATTGATAATTAAAACTACTAGATCTTGCCGCACAGGGCAGAGTGGACTTTGCTAACTTCCTCTGCAAGACTGCCACTGCTTTTCTCTTAGAATTACCTACACTCTTAGAAGAAATGGTTCGATCCCTCGCTTCATATATGGAACTCCAAAATGGTTCTATATTTTTTGTAAAAGGTTCTATTGGCCAAGTATGGAACCCCAGGGTTCTATATAAACCCAGAGGAACCCTTTTTTAAAAGAGTGCCTAGAACCTTTTAGGGGTTACAAATACGTAGCCCTGATAGAACCTTTTAAGGTTCTAAATAGAACCTTTTCTTCTAAGAGTGTAATATTTGGGCAGAATTCTTCACTGTTCTTACATAATGGTTGAGCAATGTCAAGGTCTAAATTATTCATCCAAGACTGAAGCTCTCCATCCTGGGCACTAACCTGAACAACAAACCCACACCAGTTCCCTTAAATAGAGATTGCACTGCCACCAAACCGTCTGAATTTAAGTTACTTCAAATGTCGTTCTAAAAATATATTGCTTGAGGACAACTTGAGGTCAAGTTGTGCATTCCATCATTGGGTGTATACATGTTGATTATGCAAGTTTCTTTCTATGTAGGACTTGGTGTGGGAAACTAATCAGCAACAAAGTTCAATGTGCAGATATTTTGGTCGGACAGCGAGCATTTGCTTGCGCAAGATGGATCAAAACCACACTTTCTAGCCACAATTATCCAGAATAGATCAGCCAAAGGTCAGGCTCACAGTTCTATTTAAGTCTGGAACAACTGAAGTGAGATCCTTTCAGTTGAACTTTGCAGCACTTCATAGCAGTAGGTGCAACATGTTATTATTTTCAGAACTACACATACCTTTTCATCCAACAACTTCTTTTTTGCAACTCGGCACGCAAACATGGGCCTCACACACAGCTTCCCTTTAATGAATGGTATCGCCCATTCATTGTTTCCCCATCAGGATCCCCCTTTCCCTCTCATAAACAACACAACTATTTACTTTCTGAATTAACCAATTGCTAAGGATTACATAACTATGTCGCACTGTTTGTCTCCACGAGTGCCATGGCTACAGAAGCCAAGTGGGGGGCACACTGACAAAGCGCTTTTCTTCCCTTGCGCAGCTACACTGCTGATAACAATCACATCTTTGTGGAGAAACAAGGGCCCAATCAACCTTCAAGATGGACAGGACGGCAAACAGAGTGGAAGAAGTGCCATAAGAGGCACGACTACTAAACATACCGCAGGATTTCATACTCAATGAATGGTTTTAGGGACTAGTAGACTGATGTGTCGTAAGTCTTAGTACTTGAAGCTTTTACTTTACCACAAATCAAAATTCTGCCCTAACCAGGTCCATAGAACAAGTGTACCATCCATGCAATAATTTCAGGTATACAATATTCAAATTAAATGACCCATCATTGATCAGCTCTACCAAACTTGATTGTCTTTTTTTTCCATGAATAAACAAACACTGTTAAGTTGTCTTGATTGATATTGTGAAGCAGCTTTGATACAATCTGTATTGTGAAAAGCGCTATATAAATATACTTGACAATAAGCACAACAAAATGGACTAAACTATTAAATAATGGTTCTCCTAGATGACACTGAACATTAAACATATTAGGGAAGATACAGTTAATAGTTGCTTCCCTATAAGTGTAGACAAGCCCAAGAAGCAATTATAAAACTTAAAAACTTAAAATAATTGTGATGACTAAGTGATTAATAAGTGCCTTGCCTTTTCAGTGACGAAAACAACATATACAAGGCAATAATTCATAAGCAAACATTTTATTTAATAAAAGGAAATGAAATCATTTAGCACATTTCAAGATAAATAACTGAACACTGAATAAATGCTATATACATTTAATAGATACTTATTTTTAAATGGGAAAAACTGAAATTAATTCAAAACAAACTTTATAATTCAGAACATCAAGATTTTTTGAGAATAACTCAACTGTTAATTACTCAACTTTTTTACTCAAAGTTTGAACTAATGCCCACAAAGAGGGGAAAAAACAATAGATGTGTTGACTAATAAACACACCACTGAATAATGTAATTCTTTCTTTAGTAGTTTATATTGTTTCACAGACCAATGATGGTCAATGAGGAAAAGGTTTTCCCTTGATGACAAGTATGAAAGTGTTCTGAAGAAGAGCAAAGAAGGATTTCGGCCTTCTGGGAAAAGCACTACAGTAAAAACAAATCTGCTGTTTCCTGTTAGCATCCAGCGACTGACGTTTCCAAACTGTTTGAAGGCCTGAGTTAATCTATACCGGATGCACTTACAGCGCATATCAGAAAGTACAGATATATGGCCTGTTCCATTGATTTATAAAAAGCACCGTGGGACTGCACTGAAGATGGCAGATTCAGAAAATGTAGGCCTCTTCACTATTCAGTGTATACAGCTCGGAATCATTAGCCAACGAGAGTCAGTCCACTACAACAATGAGCATTTCTGTTCGATGAGGCCCTGCCTTTCTTGTTGTGCCTCATTATATATGCACGCATAACAGAATCTGCAGCTATGTGCTTGGACTGGGTGAACTTTAAGATTTTGAGTTTCTGGGTCAGTGAATAGGGAGGACAGGGCCACTCAAATCTCATTTGGTCAAGCCAAGAGCCCAGAATACTAACTACATGGTAATGTAGTTAAATGTAATGTAAAATGTAGAGATTTTTTGGTTTTAAAAGAAGGACAGTGTTTTAGGAGAAGGCAATAATATCTCCATGGGAATACCGTGTCATTTTAAGAAAAAGCACTGGCATCTAAAGACCTGTACAGACCAAGCCAACGGCCAGCCGCAGTTTTTGAGCATCTGTCTGCTTTAGTTTTATCAGCATGTTGAATCGGCGTCAGTGTGAGAGAGAACTCTTGATTGGCTTAGTCAACGAATCAGTGCATGAGAAAAAAAGCGAAAGTGATGAAAGCGAACAAATAAGTCAAGACGGTACAGATAGAAGGCTGTTAAAATTGTACATCATCTTACCTGAGCCATCCAATGCACGAATATTTTCATAATAACATGAGCCGATTGGAACGAAGAAAGTGATCAGCATGATGGTATTCAAAATGGTAAGCAAGCAAGCGCTGCTTTGTTTACAGTTTGTATATCTGCAGTCCTAGTTTCAGTTTCCTTTTTTAGACTATTGATATCTACTGATAAATATCAGACAGATATTTACTTGCATGCAGGCACGCTTATAAAACTTAAACTTAGTTGGTTTTTCTTAGTTGATCAGACCCTTATTCATTGTCTGAAATCATTTAGAGGCCTTTGAACAGTTTGCACTGAAACTGTCTTTTGGACCTTGAACCGTTTGGTTTCCAGTAAAGTCCATTAAATGGAGAAAAATCCTGGAATGTTTTCATCAAAAACCTTAATTTCTTTTCGACTGAAGAAAGAAAGACATGGATATCTTGGATGACATGGGGGTGAGTAAATTATCAGCAAAAGTTTTTTTAAACTTGTAAGTGAACTACTCCTTTAAGTCCTTTTGGTGTGTTCAAGTGCAGCCAAGGAAAGGCGACAACACAGTCAGCTTTCACCATTACTCATCAAGAAGACCCCATTCACAACAGAATCTTCTCTTTGACCCATTCACAAGTCAGACATAGCAGATTACCAGTCTAGAACCTGCCACAGAAGGGTTTCTTCATACTTAAGGGCACTCAGCCTTATGTATGGTCGTCAGCTCAGAGGTTTTAACATCCTGTCCTTTGCAACAGTTTTGAACTGAGTCCAAAATTCAGCTCAAGAGAGGAGATTACATGAGTGCGCTGACCCAGCTGGACTCTGTAATCCCAAACTAAAAGACAGTGATGTCAACCGGTAGGAGCAAGAGAAATCCAACCCTGCTGCAATTATGAGCATCACGATATAGATGTCGGAAAAAAAAATGGCCATGCTGTTTTTCCACTTTCCCTGTTTATTTTTCAGGGCAAAGAAGTTTATTGCATTAAAAAAAACTGAGCCACAAGGGACAATATTTAATGCAGAATCAGATTAGAACGCAATGTGCAAAAAGATAGGGTGAGGAAAGAGGGTGAAATGAGGCAATATACATAAGCTTAGTATTATAAGCTTGGCTGTCTTACCTGAAGGGAAGATATGAGGCATTGGAGCCTGAAATCAGTGCTCTGTAGGCTTCCTCTGGTGTTTTCTTCAGGTAAATAACCTGAGACAGGAAACAGGAAAGGACATTAGTGCACTAGAAAAGCAGCTAAATGGCAATTGCTTGATATTCATTTGATAGACTTTAACACCAGTGTTAACTAAAACGAATACAAAAAGTTTTCTGTAATTGAAATAAAATCTAAATATTAGTTGAAAATATTTAAATTAAATAAAAAGCACTGCCTACTCATTCATTTTTTGATGAAAACATGTTCCTCTTTATCAAATACACAAATGTACTTTCAGGAAAGTGATGTTTAGGCAGAATGTGTCACACAGATGAGATGCTGTGGCTCAGCACAATGGGGCCCTTCTCAAGTTGGGACGACTTGTCACGGCACAGTGCGGCAGTCACAAACACAGACTTGCTGAAGTGACGAGTTTTAGCGGTCACCTATGCCAATCCCTCTTGACATCACAGAGAGAAAGAGCTCTATAATAAGATCTCTGCTCACTCCTTAAACATTTCTGTGGCTTGATGTCAAAATGCAGCAGGGAAGTGCCAACAAGAAAAAGAAATGTGAACCGCAACGCTGTCCAACATGCATATAATACAGAAAAGGGGATAGTTCATCCTAAAACAAATTACGTAATTTACTCGCAAGTCATTCTTAACTTGCATGAAATTATATTGGATGTGGAAGACAAATGAAGAGATTTTGAAGGTTGTGCTTATTGCTCTTTTCTATGCAAATACAATAAGTGGAAACTAATTTTTACATTTCAAACATGCAAACAATAATTAAAACTAGGGCTGTCAAACGATTAATCACGATTAATCGCATCCAAAATAAAAGTTTGTGTTTACATAATAGAAGTGGGTGCACTGTGTATGATTATTTTATATATATATATATACACACACACACACACACACACATGCTTTAGATTTATATATAATTTATATTATTTATAAATATAAATATTTTACGTATAAATAATATTTTTTTTCTGAAATATACATGCATATGTGTGAATTTATATATATACAAAATAATTATACACAGTGCACCCACATATCTTATGTAAACACTAACTTTTATTTTTTAATGCGATTAATCGCGATTAATCGTTTGACAGCCCTAATTAAAACATTAAATATTCACTGAAAATGTTCTATTCCATTTGCAAAATCATTCATACTAACTTTATAAACCACAAAAAAAAAATGGATTAATTGAAAAGATTTGACTGAAAAGAATGATTTATTCACAAACCTGACATGGCTACTTGCAAATGTGATTTTCTGTAAATAACTACTCTATTTTCAGGAAAATAAGTCAAAATTAGACTGTTGAGATTTAATTAAAAAAAATAAATGAAAAATAACCACATTTTACCATTACATTCAGAAATACATGTAAAATACTTTATAATTTAACTTACTCAACAAATCAACAATATTCAGAATAGAACAAGAATGAAAAACAAAAGTATAAAAACAAAAGGGGATTCACTGAATGAAAAACCGAAACGAAACTGCAGGCGTGTGGGAAATGAAAAACGCTACTTTTATTCCGAAAACGTACAGTAAAAATGGATAATATAATAATTATAATATATAGAATGGACCACTTTATGATACTTTTTTGGCACTTTAGCATCTTATGATGCTTGGCAGACTTAGTCATCATTCATTGTGATTGTATGGAAAAGAGCAACCTGCACATTCTCTAAAATCTCTTCTTTTTGTTCCACAGAAGGAAGTCATTCACACAGGTTTGGAACAACGTAAATGACAGAAATGTCATTTTTTGCATGAACTAATCTTAAGCTCTCCAGTACTTGACAACATAAAAAGACAAACTATGAGAGAGTTCAAGTGTCTGTTTGTGAACCCTGTATTTGTTCAACAGGAGGCCAGACCATTTCTATGCTCATGAAATATGCACCAACAAACAATTAGCTGAACAGTTCGGCAGATTAAGTTCAGCCCCATGAGAAGGGTCATCGCGTGTTTGTTTGTGTTGCGCCCTACTGTCCCATGTGACCCAGAGAAACGATGGAAGATCTTGGCCCCAGCTGTTCAACCAATAATCTCCTTCATATGATAAAACTGGGTCATCTACTGTAGGGCAGATTAGCAGCAAATATCTGCACTTGCCAGAAACGCACATCCCACACAAGCCTGGATCAATAAAAACCTACTTACAGAAGATTCACTGCCAGTAGAAAGACAATTTACATTGACAGCATGTCCATGCACGCAAAGAGTGATAGGCAAGCACACGTTGAGAAGAAACAACGGTTTTGTGCAGTTTGGAGATCATCTAAACCATCCATCTTGAGCAGACTACAGGAGAGAATCCGCATGATTTGACGGATGTCTCCAGAGGTTGGGTTTTATGAAGGTAGCTAAAATGAGTTTCCATTTAAGACAACTAAATTAAGACCAGGATCAGGGTTCAGACTAATTTTAGACCTAAAGGGTAAATGTGACCATTCCCGGTGGACAGATTTTGAGGAAGTACACCAACTTTGAGAGGCATTTGCAAGATAATTAGAATTGCAAAGACCAGGTTGCAAGGAAAGAAGAAGAAAATAATATCCATGTGTTTTTGGATTAACATTATAGTGTCAATAATATATGCATTTAATTTATTTAAAACACATTTTTTTTTAAAAAGGGTTGGGGTCACATTTGGGACATATTTTACACATTTACAGTCTCTGCAGATAGGGAACCAATATAAATGAAAATAATATATAAAAATATAACATCCAACACAGGATTTATGGTGGCATGCAGCCATTGCATCACAACAGTTCAAAATCAGATTATCCAAAAAGCCAGATTATAACTCATCATGGCCCTCGTCCAATGGAAAGCAAGGGATCATCGGATCCCCCCTCTTTGGATAGCCCAAGGATGCTGATATTGTATAACACCATCATCCTTTTCAGTTCCCTGATATTTCAAATTACAGATCTAGGAGGAACAAGTTAACAGTGGCTTTTTTTGAAAGAACTAGAGAAGCATCTCTCATAACACTTCCAATCCGTGTTGCCATTTAGGACTCATCAATATTGATGAGGAAAGAGGCTTTCTTATCTCCCAGGGCTTATGTCATTGTGAGACAGTAGCTGCTTTGTCAGTACAAAACAGCACAAATAAACTGAATATACTTGAGTAAGTGCATGCTATTAAAAAGAGGATTATCTGCAGAAAAAATTGGTGCCGTGACCCTTTAGAGAGCTCAGAAACTGTGGAGTCATTTACATTATCAGAATGGCACTGACTCGCATTATAGCTGGCACCTGTGCCTTTTACAAAGTTAACGATGCCATTTAAGCAATAAATCTGCCCGGACCGAAGTCATTCCATGAGAGCGCCGGGAACAGGAAAAGTGGAGATGCCCAATGGCGCAATCGGCTGGCATCGCTCATTCAGTCATGGCGTTTCACAATGGCCACTGTGTACGTGGTGGGATAGATGAATGAATGCATTGGAACAGGACAAACTGGCATGTGAGCAAGTCAAGGACGTAGTTATTGTGCTGCCACGACGCAGGGGATGTACCAGTCAGTCAGCAGTCTGTCGCTCTCTCTGAGGGGGAGGCTGTAATGAGGACACTGGCAAACATCCGAGAAGACTTCATACTACATGTGAATTTGCTGTCGATGCTGTGATGTGGGAGGATTGTTGATTTTGACGGAAACAGCTGAGCGGCTAATTTGCAGGGTCGTGACAGATTCTGTCCTGGACATGAATCTTTCAGACAGGCGAAAGTAATTAGAGGAAGACAGAAGGACAGAAAAAGGTGGGATACTCACAGCATAAGCACCGATAAGCACAGCAGCGTTAGCCCTTTTGCGCTGGTCAAAGCTGGTGTAGTGAACAATCCTCTTTCTGGTCAGTGTAAATGACTGGAAACAAAAAACAAATCCATTACACTGCAAGCAAAGTACAAGAAAACATTTCAAATATGCAGTTTATTTTAGATGTAATGCTCTATGTTGAGCATTACATCAACTATTCAATGTAGTTTAATTAATTCAAATTGTAGTTCAATTGTAGTTTAATACAGAAAAATTATGAAAATGAATTACAAATTAGATAAATTAAAAGATCAAGTTTATGCCTACAAAACAACATTACATCAAGCATTAAAGTTTTCGTTTAAACTAAGGCTGTCAAACCATAAATCGCATCCAAAATAAAAGTTTGTGTTAACTTAATATATGTGGGTGCACTGTGTATAATTAATTTTTGTGTGCGTGTATGTATGTATATATATATATATATATATACATACACACACACACACACACACACACACACACACACATATATATTTAAGAAAAAAAATGTTTATATATAAAATATTTATATAATATTAATTATATATAAATCTATATTCAGTATATACATGAAAATATTTCTAAAACATATACAAGCATGTGTGTGTATCTATATATATATAAAATAATTATACACAGTGCACCCACATATATTATGTAAAACACAAACTTTTCTTTTGGATGTGATTAATCACGATTAATCGTTTGACAGCCCTAAACTTTAATGATTGATTATTATGATTACCGGTTTGTGATAAAAAAGCATTTTATCACAACCCGGCATTAATCTTTAATCGTTAAATGGCATTTTAAAGAAACAAAACTGCAATTTAAACACAAAACAAAAATGCTATTTGAATAAAAACCAGAAATCAATCATTCAACATGGTTTTCATTAAAACTCAAATATAAATTATATAAATACTTCTTTAAAATGCTATTATAAAAAAAACTATCATTAATCACTGCATCAAACTTCTTGTTTTTTGTTATGTTAACATGACGGAAAAAGATAACTGCATCAAGCGTTAAACTTGTTGGTTTGTCTTAATTAAAAATGTAAATCTTGGTTAATGTAAAAGTCACTTCAAACCCATTTACAGTTAAAATGACTGGTTAGATGTTTGGGAAACAGGTTGTGAGAATCTCATTAGCGAATATCTCAGCGCCATCAAATTCCACACACTTAAAAACACATTTTTCCTGCTTAAACTAGCTTGAGGTATGTTCTGAATAACTCAATTGAGTGTCTTTAACATGAGGGAATTTAGAGACAGATGTTGCCGCATCTGCCCCAGCTGCTGCAGTAACACAGAGGGAGGTGCTGCTGGTGAGCCAAAATGTGCACGCGAGAGGCAGCATGTAGCTGCTAAAGCCAACTCATGTACAGGCACACACCAAAAGCTTCAGAATAAACTGAGGGCTTTTCAGTTCAGCTCAGATCTAGCACAAAGCATCTGTTCCTGTGTCACTTCACATGCTGCAGAGTTAAACTTTGTCTGGGGTGGAATAACAGTGAAATCAAACTGCCGGCACAACAAATGAGGATTCAAACTTGTCCACCTACAATCCACCCCCAAAGAAAAGGAGTTATACACCAAAGGCAAAAACTAAGAAAAGGGATTTTTCAGAGATCTATACACTGAGAGATCAGAAGAAATTCAACCTCTTTTTCTTTAAAAATTTGACTTTTTGACTGCCTATTAATTTTTTAGCTTAGAAATATACTTAGAAATTCGTAGTAACAGGGTTGAACCCTTTTATCTTTCCAAGTTTAATCAATAACCAAGACACCACTAAAAAAAGACAAGGGAAGATCGAGAGGTCCTCTTTTCTCACAAAGTCATAGTAACAGGGTTGAAGCCTTTTATCTTTCCATGTTGAATCAATAAAGCAATACAACATAAATATACTTAGAAATTCATAGTAACAGGGTTGAACCCTTTTATCTTTCCAAGTTTAATCAATAACCAAGACACCACTGAAGGACAAGGGAAGATCGAGAGGTCCTCTTTTCTCACAAAGTCATAGTAACAGGGTTGAAGCCTTTTATCTTTCCATGTTGAATCAATAAAGCAATACAACATAAATATACTTAGAAATTCATAGTAACAGGGTTGAACCCTTTTATCTTTCCAAGTTTAATCAATAACCAAGACACCACTGAAGGACAAGGGAAGATCGAGAGGTCCTCTTTTCTCACAAAGTCATAGTAACAGGGTTGAAGTCTTTTATCTTTCCATGTTGAATCAATAAAGCAATACAACACTGAAAGTCAAGTATAGATCTAAATGTCACCTTTTCTCACAGAGTCATAGTAACAGGGTTGAACCCTTTCATCTTTCCGAGACAAATCAATAAGCAAAACAACTTTGAATGCAAACTAGCTTGGAAAGTGAAAATATAGAGATAATCTTTGTAGCCCTCAAACCATATTCACTTTATAGCACTTAATCCTGTAATTGTGGACAAATGTGGGCATAGAGGACTCATAGAGGTGTGATCCTAATTTTTATTTATTATAAATGTTATATCACTGTCTTTGATAAAGTTTTGTCCATCCATTTATGGTATTTTCTTTATTTTGGGGATATTTTACTTCAAAAAGTACCATATTTTCTATGTAAATTTTTTTTTTTTTTTAACTACATTAAAATATCATTCCAATAAGTTCTTAGAGCTAAAACCTAAAGAGTGACTTTGCTGTCACCTGGTGTCTTATTTTTCCCATTCATTTCTATGGGTGCCCATTTTTGACCCAAATACAAGATTACAGAGTTTTGGGGGTTTTTTTCCACCCACTTAACATTGTAGAATTGAGTCAAAAAAAAATGTGTGTGTTCAGGAGGCAAACTTAGGAAAAGTAGCCAAGTCTTGTACCGCTCAGATCAAGACAAGTATTATTTTAAAATAAATCAAAACTATTTTGCCCACAGTTGTCCAGAATACGGTTTTAGGGTTAAGAGTCATAGCAACAGGGCTGAAACCTTTAAAGTTAATTCGATAAGCAAAACAATATCGAATGTCAACAAGTTTGAAGATCTTTTTCCTTTCTCTAGCTTTTCTCAAACAGGTCATCTGTCCCTTTTTACTTTCCAGACAAAACAAGGAAAACAATCACCCAGCAAGTTAATTTTATTTTAAAATAGCAGCATCTCCAATGCAGGAGGTGGTTATGCTAGTTAGGGGAAGAAATCGCTGCCAAAATTAAATACGTATATAATGCAATAACTTGTTTTTTTTTCATCAGATTGTGCTTCAAAAACAACTAGAGATTGCACAAGCTCTGCTCAGCAATGCTAGAAAGCTGATCTGACGATAGGATATGACTAGAACAGAAACTACCAAAGCTTCCCTTCTTGCTGTGTGGTTCCTGCAGCCTACAACCAATCATGCAGGCTGAGAAAAAAAAAAAAAAAAAGTAATTTCTAAAGAAACAACTTGTAAATTAGAAACAGGCGGGGACATTCACATGTGGTTGGATGGGTGTGGACGTAGTGAAAGTGGTTAGGAAGGAAACACATCATGCCTTTACCACAGGACTTTACCTTTAACATTCCACAACATGAACACATGAGAGAACTACACCTTGCCAGCTTCAGAAACACAGAACAAACACAAAGATAAAATGGTTGATTATTCAAACACCTTCCTTTACCTTAGACAGTGGACAAAGGACATGTGAGCAGAATGAATCTCTACATGGACATTATAAACTTCTTGTGTGCTTTGGGGCTTCGTCCTCTTTGCTGACCTCTCAATATAGGTTAATTGGAAACTAAAGTTGGCGTTGCGTTGAGTTAACCGTTTTATGCTCCTGAAAGCTGATGAAACTCAACAACTACATTTCTAAACTCTGCTAAAAGTGAAGAATATTGTATCTAAGTTACAAAACCAACCTAGACCAAATCTAGACAAATGTACTTTCCAAAATACAGGTGGTTGGAATGGACTTCTGAAGACACAATAGACAAAATATATAAGGTATGGTAGTACCACAAATATCCTTAGTGAAGAAGGTAATAACAGAATACTTTTCGAAAAAGTAAAAAAAAAAAAACTAAGACAACGAACAAGAGAAATGTTAATAAGTGCACTTATTGAATTTGAATGTTGAAAAATATTCTAATTTAGAAAACAGAATATTGCTAGCAAATATTGTGCTGTTAGATTAGCAATAGGCTCATGTAAAACGTTTTGCGAAGCAAATAGAGGTTCTCCCTATAGTGTTCCAAATCAGTCACTATGGGGGGTTTCATTATAATTAAGATGCTAACTTAAGCCTAGTTCACAATACATGATTTTAAGCCTGATTTAAGGCCTGTTCACTCCGGGACGAATTTCGCGAGTTATTCGCCGACGTTTAAAGTCCCCGTGAAATCAAAATTGAACCTATTTACTTTGTTAGCGCATATTACTAGTCTTGTGGTGAACAATTAATCCGTGCAAGTGAATATATATAAAAAAAATGTTTTACCTTAGTAATCTTTAATCAAAATCTGAAAAGTTACTTCCGGTCTGGAACGGTTTCTTTTTCTGATGACGTAGGTTTCACAATTTGGGTGGGGAAACGCATAACCACTCCCCTCAAACCGTTAGTTTGCTATGAGCGAGAGATGGAGAGGAGGAGCGCTAGAGTAAAACCCTGCCCTCTGTTCAATATTCCGTTTCACTTGGAAATACGTCACAGCACTGGAGAAAAATCGTTTGCAACTTCCGGTTCACGGGGACTTTAACGCCTCGTGACTAAACAAAGGGCGCCAATGTGAGTGTTCACACCGCCGCGTAAAACGCTACGCTAAAAGCGTCACTATTTTTAAAAACGCCTCGGGTTCGTTTTTTTAGTTTGACGCGCCACGTCAAAATCTATCCGACCAATGAAATTGGCGCTTTTGCTTTCGTGTTTGAAGCTTCTGAAGAGACAGTAAAACACAACTTGGGGGCGCTCAAACACAAAACGGTCTTACCGAGCACACATACGTAACGGCGAAGAAGATATACGCGTCGCCGTCTACACAGCCAGGAAGAAATAAGACGAGGAAGATGCAAGGCAAGATGAGTGTAGATTATGGAGTGGTATTGCATGGCAAATGGGCGCCATCTAATGTCAGGGAATGAATTTGCATGTTCACTCGGCTCATCGTCAGTGAAAATCGCTTGGGTGTGAACACAAAAAACGCGTTGAAAAACGCTGACGAATAACGCGCGCTGATATTCGTCCTGGTGTGTACGGGCCTTGAAACCCGATTTGCAAATCGTCAAGCTCGCCGACAGGTCAGGGTGTTATCGCGTGCAAAATGCGGGGGATTAGCGGACGATGAATGCTCGCCAATCTGTTCAACAACGCATCAAATACGCTCGCAGACGCCTTGCCAAGCACAGAAAAATATCTAGCAGTCTAAATATCCAGAGCTGTCACATCACTCATGTGATGTCATGAGCTACATCCAATCAGAGCAAGGCATGGGTTGAGGTCAGTATTCTTCGCTGGGTATTGGTGCGTGCTGCTTCGTGTCACTTTCGGTTCGTTTTATCGCGTGATTTTCCATGACAAAACGTGGTTTGTAGACATGATAGAATCGTTGTTGTCAACTCGTGTAGTGCATTACCTCCTGTTGCGGCTCAATCACGTTGTGTTGTGTGGTGTGAACAGCTCAACAACTTCAACACTCCTGATTTCACAGAGAGCAAGTCATGTAGTGTGAACCGCACAGTTCAGCCCAACATTTTAAAATCAAGTAGTGTGAACAAGGCTTTAGAAGGTAGCTGTCCATGTATGTAGTAGCAAACAAGGCAGCTCACTAGGTTTTGGAAAGCAACTAGTAAGTACCTACTACTACCTGCCCCCAACCTAACATCACCCTTTAAAAAGTGTCTATATTTGCAATCGAGTGGAAAATTTGGGAGCTGATGGATTGGGATGGATCCCAAGCCTCTCCCCATCACAACTGATGTACTCGAACATCTAAGCCTCCCCCATAAATCCTTAGGACACGCATGAACCATATGGCAAGGCCAATGCCAGTGGCTGCTGCTAAAGTCTGGATACAGGAAAAAGGTCACGCCCAATCCCAACATTTGTTTGCATCTGAATCTGATAGAAGCAATCAAGAATGGTTACATAACAAAAAACTCACTATCTCAGCAGACCGTGAGCACAGAGATTGAAAAAGATTGTAGTCAATAATACCTTGCTGATATCCTGTTAAGTTCAATGAAAATTGCAGCAAAAGGTTGGACTTGAATAGTGAAACTTTGGCCAAGTGGATAAGTTTAAAAGTGGTGACCAGAAGGTGACTGGTTCCCCAAAGTTAACAAAATCCACCATTGCGGAAGGCACTTAAATTAACCCTAGACTACACTAGGGGAAGATTATCAAGCATTTAGATAAAAATGACAACTAAATGACTACTCACTAAACCACTGGATAAAGACTTAACTTAAAGACTTGAAGAGCTTGAGAGAAATTACTAAGCAGATTCTAGGTGCAACACAACTTTTGATTCAGATTTCCATCTGATATTCATAAACCAAAACTGAGAGGACTTTCTCAATGACTGGTTTAATATAGTAGAATTATGGATTAAAGGAATAGTTTGGGTTCAGTACAAGTCAAGTGCAACCGACAATGTTAATTACAACAAAAAGTAATTTCAACTGGTCCCTCTTTTCTTTAAAAAAAGCAAAAATGGAAGTGAGAAACTTAATTTTTGGAGCATTTAAAAGCAGAAATGTGAAGCTTTTGATGTTATGAAAGCACTTCTATTAACTGTTCTGTTAAACCTGTGTATTTTTGAGCTGTAAAAAAGTTTAAATAGTTTTTACAGTCATTGTAGGGTTTACATGCATTGTCATGGCAACAAAGTTGTAAAATTAGATAAAACCACACAGAGAAAAGGTTACTGATAATATTAACAGTTTCTTTAGGTCTTTACAATTAAAACACTATTTTATAGTTTACAAATTAACATTAATTTATATTGTAAGCTAATTGTAATCTTTACTTTTTGCTCTCTTTTTTTTTTTAAGAAGTGGAGGGACAAGTGGAAATAGTTTTTATGTGGTAATCAGCATTACGCAAATGTACCAAACCAGAAATATTCCATAAAGAAGAAATCTCTTCATGGCCTGAACTGCTGATCTCCATTAAAGGCCCTGAGCCAAGAACACCCTGTGGTCTCAGGAGACACTTTTGGTCCACATTAAAATGCCAGGACAGGGGAGTAAAAAACTAAAAAAGACAGGAGGCACATGGCTAAAGACGCATGTGATATATCCTATTGAGTTTCTAGTCAAAGTCGCTTTTATTAATGAGCACACACGGTTTTGCATAACAGAGATGGCATAAAACGAGCTGATGACTTGATAAAGCGAGGGCTGAATGGAAAGTTTTCTAACTGTAGCTGAAGTTCAATGCTGTATCATTAAGTTTAAATTCCCATCCCATATTCCAAAACAAAGGAAACGTCAGCACATCGGACAGCCCAAAGTATCCACCGAAGGGGGTGTGAGTGCAAATTCCTAAGCTTTTTTTTAAATGTTACTACATACTGCACATTCTTCAGGAGGAACGTGATAAATCAAGCAGGTGTTTGACTCACCTTGAGCTTTTTGCTGAGTTTACAGCAGTATCTGTACAGCATTGCAAGGTTGAGGGGTCCAAAATCAGCATAAAAGCTATAAAAAAGAACAATACCATGAAACCATATTGTTTAGTGATTAAAATAAATAATTTATACATTTATTTTGCTAATGCTAATGAGGCCCATGGCCTCTAACTGTACAGGGCCTCCATCTGGGGCCCAAACACCAAAAAACAAACCACTGTAGGTGTTAAACTGAGATAGAAAGACAAAAAGTCGTTGTCTCTTTTGGAATGTACTATGGATGTGGTGAAATCATTCTTGTAATTTCAAATATAAATAATAAAGTTGTACTTTTTGTATTTGGACATTATATTTTGCAATTATAATAGGGTGGGCCCTCAGAATAGACCACATTCATCTTTAGAAGTAAATCTCAAAAACGGTTTTCAGACCAATGATCTGTCCAAATAATGTGAAAAACATCTTCATTTTTCACTAATCCCCCCACATCCGGACATTCTAAATTAAATATCCATTATGGAACCCTGGAAATAAAAAAAAATGCAACTTTTACTTAAGGATGCGTTTGATTAAAGAGTTATGTAACAGACTTTGGAACTATTTCTCTCGCCTGCAAGGGGTTTTGGCTCTGAAAAAAGACTGAGGGAGGGAAAACTCACTTTTCGTACACAAACTCCTCATCCGTGCTAAAGTAATGCGTATTTGCAGTGCTTTTCGGCTTACTCCTTAAGGTTGCAAAATAGAGTCGATCTGAAAAAAGAGGGGAAAAAAATACACATGGTCAATTTAACAAGCTGGTACAGTTATAAAACAACTATTAATACTCTTCAGAGATAAGGTTTTATCATCGGATTATTGTCTTGGGATTAATCATGTAAAACAGTGGACTTATCCAATGGACTGTAGCTTTAAATACACTTACAAACGAGATGTAAATTGTCACATTACTTGAACTATTAAATACTTGAAAATTGAAAAATTAAATAAAAGTAGGTATATACAAGTAGGCCTTTTAGAGTCCTGCTTGCAACCACTACAAAGTGTTTATTAGTAATTATAAATAATGCTGATACTACAATATACACTTTTAATAATCAACTTTACAAAAGAAAAAAAAGAAAAAGACATTTAAAAAACAGTTTAAAAAGTTGGAAATAGTGTTCATGGTAACAGGGTTGATGCATTACCTATATTAATGTATACATAACTAATTAAATACTTAAAAATGATTAAATAAAGCATTTTTACGCAAATATTATATGGAAAACAAACAAATACATAAATAAAACGCTGCACTCCTGCTCATAAGTTAATAAAAAAATATCTACAACACAAAAAAGTTGGTGTCAGAGCATTGTTTACACACCCACACATCTATCTGATGGCAACACAATGAATCAAAGTTATTCAGAAAATCCTCTGAAACGTATACTTACTTACCTTTAATAAACTCCGAAGCACCTATTAAATCATAATCGTCAGCCATTTTAAATAAGGTTGTGAGTATCGCGGAATGTTTTAGGTTGTCAAGAGTCATCGACGGAGCGCGAGTGAGGCGCAGCTACTTCTAAAAGAAAAACAAACTAACGTAACCGCTGGTTTAAAAATCCGTTTCCTCTCACCGATGCAACTTCTCTTTTAACAAATGACGCAAATATTCCACCCAAAAAACAAAGAAATGTGTAAATAAGGCACTTGAATCTCGTGGCATTATACCACGCGTAAAATGTAAAAGAAAAAAGCTGCAACTAAAACAACTCAAGGTGCGTCATTTCGGCATCGCGAGTCCCGCGTAAAAGTACGTGAATGATCAGCACCAGAGTCTTTTTTCTCTCGCTTGAGCCGTCAAACCAGCATTCGTCGTATTAAATATCCGTTTTCGCTTCAAACTGGGCAGATACGAGACGCGAGCCTTTGCATGGTAACTCTGCCCTGGTCATTAGGTGGAAATCTTTTCCTAGCCATGGTCGCGGACAGTCAAGAAAGATCTTAAAGAGACGTCACGTGGTGCGGCGTTGTCCTATCAGCTGGAGGAAAGGCTGTTGCCTGGGTTAACTCTCACTCGACCAATCAGAGGGCAAGAAGTTGTTTTAGACTCAAGCCCCTTGTACACAGATTCCGGTCGGAAAATACATTGATAAAGTGATAATGTGTCTTAATAGATAGATAATCTATCTATCTATCTATCTATCCCCAGGTGAAAAGGAAATATATTTAAATTGTACTTATTTTGACATACTTAATGTATTTTAAATGTACCGTATTAAATATGTATTAAATGTGCTAAATTGAAACAACTTCAAGTATATTAAGTGTATTTTAATATGTATTTAAGTTCAATTTTAAGGTAATAGTAATATATTTTATTATACTAAATTGTGCTAAAATGGAACCATTTTAAGTACATTTAATGTAATATAATAGCACTTATTTAAAGTGTATTTTAATACACTTTAAATCGACTTTAGAAATACAGCATTAGTATATTTTTAGCTTCACATTAATGTGTTCTGAGTATATTTTAAATATAATTTCAGCTTATTAATAATGTATTAGTAGAACACTATTGGACCCACTATTAACATATTAAAATATATTTTTCCAAAAACCATTTAATATAAAAATAATATATTTTAATGTATTAAAAATACATTTAAACATTTGAATTCAACAAAACCCAATAAAAAAAATATTTCTACAAAACACACAAACACTCTTTGAAAGATAAACTTTAATGCACTACATCAGTAAAGCATTATGAAAACTAAACAAAATACATTAACATAAAATGCATTGATTTGCAGAGGTATTAAACAGAACAAAAATAAATAAATAAATAAACTAACTGAAAGGAGTAGTTCACTTTTGAAAAAACTTTTGGTGATAATTTACTCACCCCCACGTCTTCCAAGATGTCCATGTCTTTCTTTCTTCAGTCGAAAAGAAATTAAGGTTTTTGATGAAAACATTCCAGGATTTTCTCCATATAATGGACTTCACTGGGAACCAAACAGTTCAGGGTCCAATGGCTAACAGTCAATTTGTCGTGAAAGCATGAGAATTGGCTCAATTGCGAGAGTCTTGTGCTGAATGCTTGAGAGTTGGCAGCCCTGACAAATCTTTTTTCGAGTCAATTCATTCATTTCGTTCATTGAATGAACCTAATGACTCGGAAAAATATTTGTTAATTTTGATGAACGAGTTCAAATAGGAAAATCATGAACATGCATAACAGAACAGAGCAAGGCGACCATTTGAGCTTATAAAACTTAAACTTGTGGGTTTTTTTTTTTTAAATGACCGATCGTTTCGCTTGATAAGACCCTTATTCATCGTCTGGAATCGTTTAAAGCCCTTTGAACAGTTTGCACAGAAACTGTCTTTTGGACCTTGAACCGTTTGGTCCCCAATGAAGTCCATTATATGGAGAAAATCCTGAAATGTTTTCATCAAAAACCTTTATTTCTTTTCAACTGAAGAAAGAATGACATGGATATCTTGGCATGGGGGTGAGTAAGCTATCAGCTAAAGGTTTTTTTTTTTTTTTTTTAAAGTGAACTAATCCTTTAAGTCAAACAAAGTGAAATACAATAGCAAAAAGTAAAGTGGCCAAATCTTGAGTAAAAAGAGAAGTTCGTGACTTGTTCAGTCTGCCATAGACTCTTTTGGGGACATCAGAAACACCGAGGGAAATCTGGCAAGAATAAAAAAAAACAAGCATTAGTATAAACTTGTTCATTTATAATTCTAATAAAAAGCTGTCACTTTGTTACTTAATTCAGAACACTTAATGCACAAAAAGTCAGATATAATTATTATAACAAATAGGATTTTTCTTTATCATAAAGAATTTTCTAACCATTTCTGAGGTTTCAGGAAGACACAGCTCAGATGATCTTGGGTTTGAGCTGAATGAACCTCGTTTCATGGACTCCAGGGCCTCTTTGAGAGATGATAATATCCCTGGAAGCTCTACAAGAAAAAATCAAGTTGCATGTTATACAAAGTTAGGGCAGAACAAACACTAGTTTGTGTTCTTCATATATAATTTGTCTTTTGTTTAAATGGTGAAACATATTTAATGAACCATTACTGTAACTTCCACGCTATTATTAATTATTCATTATTAATAAAGACAGAACATTCTATTGAAAGTTACAAGTTGGTGACAGCTGATAACGACTTGATTAAATGTAAAAAAGCTGAATACCACACATAAAATCATATAAATCAGTCCCTCGAGAAAAACACGATTATGTGATTGCATAATTCAATGCATAATCAGGCAAAATACATATTCATTTTTCAAATACGTGTTAATATATAATAGGTCACTTAGCTACTTAGCTGCTACATGACACACTATTGCCTTTTTTGTTGTTTTTCACCAACAAAAAGTTACAAATCAAGAGGATCAACTACTACTTACTCGACTTGACCTCATCTACTCACGGTTAGGTTTAATAAAAAAATGTCTTTGCAATGTGCAAATTCCTTGGCTAGGCTAAATATTAAATATAAAATCTCTCATTTCATTATTTAACATCATTTTAATTTCTCAGTGCAAGATATTTAATAATTGGTTTTGTGAAAGCTTATAGTTGGTGATTACAACTTAATTTATTTATCGAATTGACATGAAAACTGACAGCCTACTAATAATTAATTAGATTTTACTATGAATTAAATATCACAAATGTGTAAGTTTTATTAGAGTTTAAAATATATTATAATATTTAAAACACAAGAAGTTACTTAGGGACAATCAAGCCTGTTGTGTAATCACCATTAATAACCTTTTTTTTCTGCAAACACAGTGTGCAATGTTTTTATAGTTGTTTTCACTGTCTAGATCTATAACATTAAGTTGATAGACGTCAATGGATAAACGTTAACTCGCTTTAGTGTCAAATCAACAGAAACGCCAGTAATCCACAGAACATCGTCATCAACTTCTGAAAATATTTTAAACTAAACCCAAAGTGAGAATAAAGCCAATTATACTAATCACTTAAACTAATAAACTTACCACCAAGAAGTAAGATATTTTCTGGCAGTATCTTGCTCTGTCCATGTCGTGGCGGCGTACCTCTGCGTTGTCCTCTTCACTGCTAAATTGTTCGCGGGAGCTGACGACCTGGTAATCTGCTCGTGTGTTCTCTTAATATTAGATCGGTGCTATCCACATAGGTCAGAGTCAGTGAAATAACAAAGCAAAATTTGGAAAATACATGATTTCTGTTGAAATATCCGAAGCTATAATGGGATACCACAGACAGTCAGTATCCGCTGTCTGCGCCCCGCCCAACATGTAAGTTCAAATGGCAGTGTGTGATTGGACAATTGCCGGCAAGCTTGTTTTGAAAAGATTAGCTCTGATTGGTCCAAATGAATGCAACTGGAAATACTAACTAACTAACGGCCACAAAAAAAGAAACAACTCTGTTAATATAAACATAACATGCTTTATAAACAGGTTTTTTATTCATTTTGGCTAAACAAATGTAAGAGTAAAGCTTTAACAAATTTATTTCGTTTTTCTAGTATGTACCTGATCTTTTATGTTGATGTGTGCAAGTACTGGTATTCACTTGTTTTGTGGAAAAGACTATTTGATTAATTAATGCAGAAGTATAGAAGTGCATTACTTGTAATTTTTAAACTTTATATATATATATATATATATATATATATATATGTCTCAGTTGTTTTTCACAATATTTTTTTAAAGCAGGGCTGAAGCACATGCTACAGTATAACATAAATATTAAAAATATATTGCTCTAGTCCTATACAAGGTTAAATAAGTTATAAGGTTACAAATTGCTATACACACAAAGTAAACACAAAAAATACTTTAATTTAGCAACAAGTATGCTTTCTGTAAATACACTAAAATTTCACTAAAACTATGTTTGTTTTTAGCATATTTCTAAAAGTGTAATTAAGTGTATATTTATTTGCATTGCGTTTCTAGTAAAACATTTTTAAATACAATTAAAATATGTTTGTATTTAGCATATTTCTTAAAAATGTAATTAAATACCAATGTACTTCTAGTACACTTTTTAGAAACATATTTAAAGCATGATTGTCATTAGCATATTTATTAAAAATATAATTAAGAATACATTTATTACCAATGTACTAATAATATACTTTTTTAGAAATACATTAAAAGTATGCTTTTCTATAGTGTATTTCTTAAAAGTGTATTTAAACATATATTTATTACCAATGTAGTTCTAATATACTTTTTAGAAATACATTTAAAGTATAATTATCATTAGCATATTTATTAAAAATATAATAAAGCATACATTTATTACCAATATATTACTAATATACTTTTTATAAATACATTAAAAGTATGCTTTTCTATAGTATATTTCTTAAAAGTGTAATTAAATATATATTTATTACCAATGTACTTCTAGTATACTTTTTAGAAATATACTAAAATGCAATAAAATAAATTTTTAGTACACTTTAAATAAGCATGTTGTAAATACAAATGTATTATAAACACACTATTTGTATTTCAAATATATTTTTAATACATTTAATACAACGTCTTTTTCACCTGGGTCTATCTATCTATCTATTAGGGGTGGAGCCGAATCCGAATACGGTATTCGGAAAGGTACAAATAATGTGTTTTTTACGAATACTTATTCCGAACAAATACTTAAAAAAATATTTGTATTCGGGAACAAGAAATACTTTATATCAAAAAGCTGCGTTCCTCACGAGACGCGAGTTGAGTGACTTGAGTCAGTGCGCGAGTTGAGTGAGTGACGTTCAGGAAGAGGTGACTGACACAGGCTGCTCCACACAGCAACAGAGAGGGCTCGGCTGAGCGAAAAAAAAAAAACACTTAACTGCATCACTATTTTTGTTTAATAGATGTTTGTACCTTAACTATGTTCCGGTGGCAGTTTATAACTTTTGGGAAGCGGAGTTTGATCGGGAGTATATTCCATTATTGACGTCTGCAGACGG